CAGAATGGCAGCAGTGCCCGTGTTGACCGGTTCCTGGTTGGCACGATCAATCGCCAGCACGCGCAGCTGATACAAACTCTTCGATTCGTAGTCCAACTCCCGCTGTAGCCGCAGCACGCCCTTGCCCTGGTGCGTGGCAATGCTGAAGACATCATTATCCCCATCCAGCTCCTGCAGATAGTAAACCACCTGACCGTAGGCGCCCTCGTCGGCATCGGTGGCCTCCAAAGTGCTAATCACACCCGGTCCGCTGCCCTCGGGTATCTCGATGGCATTCTGGTAGGGCAGAAAGGTGGGAACATTGTCGTTGATGTCCTCGACCAGCAGCAGGAGGCTCTGCGTCACATAGCTGTGATCGCTGTAGTGGCTGTCCGTCAGCGTCAGGACTATGGCATACTCGTCCTGCAGCTCACGGTCCAGCTCCTTGGCCAGATACAACTTGGCCTCATTGCCGCCAGTGTTTTCGATGCGTATAATTTCGCTGTCATGGGAGTTTCGCTTGCCAAAGGTTAAAGGATCATTGTCCGGATCGTAGCCCTTGAGGGTGTAGATCAAAGTGCCTGGAAAGCGATTGTTAAGTGGGGTTTATGGATGTTGTTTTCAGTGATACTCACCCACTTTAGTTTCAGGACTCTCCTTCAGTCGCAGCACAATCTCCGACTGTCCATCAATAGCAAAACGCGGTGGTCGATTGCAGTCCACGATGCCCATTAGGATGGCATAAACTATCAACAGGATGCTTATGTGTCTAGGGTATTGCCGGTTCTGTGTCCTTTTTAAGCGCACCTTCTTGTAGTCTGTGGATTGCCTCAGCTGTTCGTTGTACATTTTGTTGCTGTTGGTGTTGGCGATGATGAGGAAGTTGTGTTTGTTGTGAGCACCTTTTGGTTACTGCGACTGCCACATGACAGTTTGGAATGACACCAGCCGAGCGACACCTAGAAAAATAGACCAAAAGTGTGGATCAAGTGTGTGTTACAACAGAGAGACACAGACCCAAGCCCAGTGTTAACCCATTTTCCCTGCTGGGGCTGTGCCTTATGACCCCAAAAAAGTTTCGCTTGAGAAAGCAAAGACAGAAAGAACTTCAAGTGGAGTGGCGGCAGTGCTTTCGGTTCTGGTTCTGCTCTTGCAACATCGCGGGACATACACATGTCAACAATTAGGTCGAACAAAAACGTTTCTCAATGGCACTGGGTACTGGGTACTGGGTACTGGGCCTGCTCTCCGTCTGTTCTTGCTCTGCGTGAGAATTGGCCAAATCTTTTTGCGAAAGTTTTATGCGCAAATTAATTAAAGCGTCTGGAATTCCGCTAAAGAAATTTTTATTGACTTTGTTTTTGTGTGTTGCTTGAAGGTTTAACGACCGTAACGTTTTCTAAACTGCCCCGGCAATTATTATTACTCTTTTACGAAGCACTTTTGCGGGTATATCATGTGCCAGATTTGGTCTCACTTAATGCCAATAAATTCTGGCTAATCTGCCAACAAATAGTTATTTGCTGAAGTGTGAAGAAAACTGAAAGTTTGAGGGAATAACCAAACATTTTAATGATGTTTCTCCAGAGTTTGTTATCTTCGCTTTGGTTTCTCACAGCGCATCATAGAGGCGTGTGAAAAGTGCATCGCGATGACTGCATCTGTCAGATACAGATGCATCTTTTGCTGCTGCTACAGATACCATTGGCTGTGGCTTATTAATGCCAGACATTGCCATTGTTTCAGAGTTCAACTTGGAGGCTTTTTATGCCTCGGAGCAATCTCATACTTTTGCACACGGAGAGCCACAGACTGTGGTTCATTGATTTCGCAATCACTTGGCTTGGGGGGGGGGGATTATTTCTTAATTGTTGGCAATCGTAAATGTCTCTCCGGTCAACAGGTAATTGATTTGTGTACTTGTGGCTGCTGTTTCTCTTGCACAATCCCCACTCCCAGCTCATCTTTATCGCATTGTGGAAAATCAGCAGACAAGGTCGTTAGTGAATCCGAATCCACTTTTGATTCAAAAGTAATCACAATTTGTGGCTGATTTCGCTTTCAACACGCGCCACATGCAACATATTTTCTGAGGCACAAGGAGAAGAAGCTGTTGCAGCGGCTTGGTTGGGTTTTTCTTTTGGGCTTTCGGGGGTAATTATCCGTGTGTATTCATGGCCGAGAGGCAATTGGGTTGTTTGGTCAGTTGGCTGCCAGCGAATGCTCGGGTGGCCATACAATTTCATGCTGCAATGCTTTTTGGCCACATCAGAATGGGGCTACAGCCAGCTATCATCTATCACAGCTGGTCGATCAGTTTATCCGAGCGATAGCTGTAGCTGTACCCAGACTGTCAGACTTCCCATGAATGCCTGGAATTTGTAGCTGGTAAGTGTTACCTATCCATACCCCCCATTTTAAGCTGCTCCATAGCTATCACTCCACATTAAATGAGGCTATTTAGAGCCACAACTAAATGCAGTCTTAATTAAGTCCATTAGTGGCTGGAGACGCACTTTCCTGTTGGCAATTTTCCACACGGCGGAAAACCCACTGAATTAAAGCAAATTAATAAGTCACGCCGTCGACTCGCAGCAGAGATCAAACCAACAAAAGTTGGTTGCCATTTCACTTACAATTTATGTAAGTTGAAAGTGGAAGAGTCGCCCGGCAAAAGTCTCAGAGCCATGACGACGGGTGACGACGCTGCCTTTCTACAGCTACAAAATCCACAAGATCTGAGACTCTTTTGGCGGTTTTTGCTAGTGCTAATGACTCTTGTTGCAAAGTTCACGCTTGGCATGTTCTGCCCTGATCTGGAATGGCCTTTGGTTCCCTGTCCAAAAAGTGAAATCCTGCACGAAAATATCTCTACCCAATCCATTGCCTTTCCCACTGCCTTGCCATTAAGTCTTGTGGTTAACCACAAAACAAAACTGCTGGGGGAACTCCCAAGATAATCCCACAGAAATGGAAAACTCAATGAACAATTTTTGATTTCGGATGTTGTGCATGATGATGCGACAACTTGCTCCACCTCCTGCTGCTCCTGCATCTCCACTCTGCAGACATAATCGTACGTTGCTACCGGGCTGTTCACTTTCCATGTCAGCCAGAGCCAGGGGTTTCATTTAATTATATTAAAAATGTTAAGCGCGACGCAGAGAGAGAGAGAGAGAGAGAGAGTCAAAGGCAGAGCTATCTCTGTTTGTGACCAATGTTGGCTTCAGTTTCCGGGGCACGAGTGGCTGAGCAAACATTTGCTGGGGGCTGCTGCTGCTGCTGCTGCTGCTACTCCAATTTGAACACTTCCTCCCTCATATTAGGGCCCTGTTTGTCATGCCCATCGATTCCGCGACAGTCAAGTTCAACGCCAGCAGCAGCAGCAGCAGCACAGCTCCATGCCAGCTATTGTTTGTTGTTGGCTAACAAACAAAAGGAGAGTCGCTACGGAGGGAGGCAGCGCCGTTGCGGTAGCTTGGTTTTTGACTCATGGCCCAGGTTCAAGCGACGCCCGCATCCGTCTCACTTTCATGGTAATGTGCGTAGTCCCTGCCAACTCTTTGCCGGCTCCAATCTACACTCCACTCTCTAGCCCTGAGCTCCCAAGTGTCGTAAAACATTTGTCCGTTACACTTGGTCTCCTTTTCTAGCTCGTTTTTTGCAACTGCTTCTGCTTCGTTCATCCAAAACTGCGAGTACGAGTATTGCCAGACAATTGGTTTCGCATACATGCTGCGATCGACGCGTGACTTGGAAGAGCAAGCAAGTCCTTGACCTGGGCATTGCGACATTACATACAGTATTGGGCGAAGCGTAACGTCATTGGGCAACGCATCCCTAGAGCTTCTTTAGCATTAAAACCAACCCCAGTGAGGAGGGAAGCCCCTTCAGGACAACTGAAATTGGTTCCATTACTTACCCTCTAAGAAAGGTATTCCTCTAGCACACACAAAGAGTCACAAGTATCCTTTCGACTTTTATGTTAATTATTTTAAGGGCACACTTCCAATGTCTCACTCGATTGTCAGCTGTCGACTGCTTACACAGAACTTTCAAATTTCTTGTACTGACACATTTTCGTAAAGGCTTCTTCTGTGGGCCAGCACAGGCACGACGACCACGACGTCACTGGTAATTAGGCATGAGTCAAAGAACCCCAGAACTAAATAAACGTGTCGCATGCTCTAAAATTGGGCAATGCACGAACCGGAACTTGATTCCAAACAGGGTAGGTAGGGGGGGGTTACCACTACCACACATACATATACACATGTGTGAATGATGAGCACACGGATAGAGATCACTGTAATGACACTTTTGACGCCGCCGACGGAACGTGCTTCAATCCACGCAATGTACTTATTGCTGACCAAGCAGGCGGGGGGCAGGGGGCTGCGTGTTAATAAATCACGATTGCACTTCAAAACTTCGAAAACCGTTAAGTGTTTTCGGAACACGAACTAGACGCCAAAAACGAACTGTAAGCTGCGAAAGCCGCAAAACGACTAAGAGCCTCCGCTGAAGCTTGAGCCACGGAACGGTGTGCAGTATGGGAATGGAGTTGACAACGAACGGTATGGCAACCCTGCCAGAGAGAGAGAGAGAGACAGAGAGTGCACTGCAGGCACGCGAGTAATTACCGAACCGTAAATTCCGCCGGCATAAGTAGTTAGGGAGAGGAGGGGGCTGATTGGGGGTGGCATTGTTTGTTTACGATCTCGCGCCGATTGCGAAAGAGAGTGTGTGGTGGACAACGGAAGTGCGTTGGGCTTATGCAATTTTGAAGGTTAGTTTAGCAAGTATTAAAGACTAAACAATGTTTAGTGGAATTAACATTTAAATTAAGCAAGCTTTGAATATTATTTACACCAGCATTTGTTACACTCCACAAGTACATCAAAAATCGGGTAGGTGTTTTACGTGTAACAAAGAAACATTTTTATTTTTGTATCATCAAAGTTTCCATTGAATATTATTTCCAGTCTTTTCTACATACTACAAATTGTTTTTGTATTATATTTATATCACACAGAACATGTCACTGAATCGTGTCTCAGGGATCCGTAATGGAGAGCTAAGGGAATTGGCAAAGAAGTCCAGTTCGTCGGAAATGATGCCGTTACTCGTCAAGAAATCAAGCAGAAGCCGTTGCTTCCATTTGCGCTACATGGAGCTGTGCCGTGCCAAAAATTGGACACCCTCGCCGGAGATCCAAAAAAAGTCAAATGACAAAACCAAGCTGGAGCTCTTCGCGGACAAGCTGGCTGTCAACGACTGGATGATGGTCATCGAGGCGCTGCAACATGACATCGTTCTACAGAGCCTTGTGTTGCGCATGCGCCGCTCCTATCCAAAGAGTGAGTAGCCAGGAGTCGGAGCAGACGAACTGCTGGGGAAAATAAAATGCTGGAAATATTTCTTTGTAGGCACCATTGAGCCCATCGACACGGAGAGTCGGGCGAGACTGTTTCGACAGCGTCCCGTGGTATTCACACGATTCATTTTTCGCTGCCTCGTCCATTCCATTGCCAATTCTGTGTCCACCAACAAGAATCTCACGGTGCTCAAGCTGGAGGGTCTGCCCCTATATAATGGCTACATCGAGTCCATTGCCAATGTAGGTATTAGCTCATGGTTCCATTCCTATGACCATGTTGTTCCCTGTTTTGCTAGGCGCTAGGCGCCAACGAGAACCTGGAGACCTTGAGCTTTCGCAGTTCCAACATTGGCGACAGGGGGTGCGAGATTATATGCAGCACGGCCAAGTACCTCAATCGGATTGCATACGTTGATCTCTCCGACTGCAACATCAGCGCAAAGGGAGCCGCTCACGTGGCTGATATGATTAAGGTATGACGGAGCTAAAAGTCGTATCTGCTATTGGTAATTCCCTCCCTTAGATGCAGAAGATATCCCAATTCACAGAGGGATGGGAAAAGTCTCTGCGCTACCAGGATGTCGATCTTAGTTCCATCTCGGGGCTGCGCACGGTAATGCTAGCAAACAATCCGCTGATCGGTGACCAGGGCCTGCGATGCATTACCGAAGTACTGAAGGAGGATGCTTGGATAAGGGTTATCGACATGCAGTGCTGTGGCCTGACTGACTTTGGAGCCAAACTCATACAGATCTGCCTGGACTGGAACACTGTCATTCAGGAGTTCAATGTGAAGCACAACCAGGGCATCAGCCCCTTCATGCAGCGCAGCATTCGCGAGCAACTGGGCATACCGCAGTTCAAGAGGAAGGAGCCGGAGTATGATCTGACGGAGTTTGTGAGCATCTCCAAGGAGCTGCAGAGCCTGCCCAAGGGCCAGAAGTTTTCCTTAAGTTTTCTACTGGCACACATCAAGGGGCTTGAGCATGAGCTCTCCTTCGAGCGAATTGTACGCAAGAAGGCGGAAAAGCTAACGGTGAAACTCAGCAGTCAAATAATGAGTGAAGGTCAGATGTCATCTGAAGACTTCTTGGAAACATCCCTCGTAACATCCCACATGCCCGACGAGTGTTCGGAAATGCAGGAACATCTCATAGAGTATGTATTTCTCTGCTGTATTCCTCTGTGCATTGTGTATCTCCCTCCGTCAGATCGCCAACGTATCGACAGGCGCTGTTCGGCAAGCTAATCAACAGTGCCGTCCCAACACCCGAATCTACGCCGCGCAGCGACTTGTCGACGATGCGAAATGAGACGCAGGAGCAGCCATACTTCAGCCAACTGGAAGAGGAACAAACGGAGGAGGAATCCGTGGAATCCGTGGAGTCCGTGGAGGTCAGCATTTGCGAGGAAGAGCAGGAGGCAACGCCACGGCTGGTCACACCGATCCGCAAGGTGCGCAGTGAGATGAAGTACGTGGAGAAAAACGTACAAGATGCCAACAAGAAAAACGAATCAAAGTCGGATCACGAGTTCGCCAACGAGCGATACGTAAGGGATTGACAGCCTGCGACAGTCAGAAGTCTAACACCACTTTCTTTATTCCAGTTTAATCTGAAAACGACGGAGCGATTCGAGCAAGACATAGGGGACAGTGTCCAGGTGAGCGCGAATCAGCAAGGGCAGGACCATCACGAAGGAGGTGGCGATGGCAGCCTAACAATCAGGAACGACAGCGAGGTGAAGGCGTTGCGTGATGCCGAGCAGAAAAACCTCAACAAGAATAGACAGGCTGGGGATAACGCCAGCAACTGGAACTTCAATTTTAGCACACTCTTGGCCAGTAATCACTTGGAACGCAAATCAACGCAACTGTCCCAATCGGAGTCCGAATTTTTTGCTTCATATGAGAAGAATATGAATGAAGCACGCGAGAAAATGGAAACGCTCATGGGACTGCGTACACCTTCAGTGTCCTCAGAGACGTCGGGCTCTGCCTCCGCCTCCGGATCGGAGCGGGATTTAAAAAGTTTTATCAAAACGCGCGTTGATCACCGTAGCAAGGCGTCCTTCGAGCGTCGCAAATGCCCCGTCATAGACTTGAATGAAATGAAACTATTGTCGCCGCATACTGCCTACATGATGTTGAAGAAAAAGAATCAAGAGGCACGCTCTTCGCGCAGCTCAGCGTCCGAACAATAGCAATGTTTACTTCAAATTGCCTCGAAAGAGTAAAATTTACAGTTTTACATGAATAGCAGCCAGAGGGCCTCCAGAGCACTTGCCTCCGCCACGAAATGATTATTGAATTTGTTGAACAGACTCTGTTTTAATTAAAGATTTGCAATTTGTGATGACTACTCGAAATGTTAGTTTTATTACTGTCACATTGATTAATTGTTTTGTTTAATAGTTATGGAATATGCGTCTGGTTAAGTTTTTGCTCAAGTATGTGTTTTGATTAAGTTCTCGATTAAGTTATAGTTTCCAAATGGTGAATAATAATATGTTTGTCGGTCGAAGTATTATTTAACCACCGAACCCGTACAGGGTACGTCCCTGGCGCTTCAAGGCGTAGACCACGTCCATGGCGGTCACGGTCTTGCGCTTGGCGTGCTCGGTGTAAGTGACGGCATCGCGGATCACGTTCTCCAAGAATACCTATGGAAAGAATGCAAATTTCAGTTTAGTTCTCATATTCAGTACTCCACTCAGTACACTCACCTTCAAGACGCCACGGGTTTCTTCGTAGATCAAGCCTGAAATACGCTTAACACCGCCACGACGGGCCAGACGACGAATTGCTGGCTTGGTGATACCCTGGATGTTATCACGCAAGACCTTACGATGGCGCTTGGCACCGCCTTTTCCCAATCCTTTACCTCCCTTTCCACGACCAGTCATTTTTAGTTTTTAGGTTTTTACGATTTACCTAGCAAAAGAGAAGAGAAAACAAACGGGATTAATTGCAGACTCAGACCGACGCCATTTTTGTTGGAAGACACAAAGCATGTCTTTTCATGTCTGCTTATGTGCATCTGCACATTTCCTTGATGTATTTCTGCATATCTTTCCATAAAAACATATTTGTTGTTATTTTATTAGGAAGCTTACTTGGTGTTTTAGTTAAAAATGTTTTTACGCACTTTGCAAGTGTAGGCGAATTTTTCAGCTGTATGACCGTCTGGATGAAATATAGCGCATGACCCTCAAAAATATACCAAAGTATATCTTCTCATTTGCAAATATACCGAAAATTATTAATATTACCAGCTAGTTAGTACTCCAAGAACTTTACATATAGTTTTATTTGATTCATCAATTAATTCTCCATATGGTTGGCTAGTTTTCATGACTTTTTTTTATTTTAGTTTGTACAAAAGAAGGTTCAAGCAAAAATTTCAACCGCTTAGATAAGTATAAAAAGTTACTTTAGTCACTAACCAAATGGTATAGTATACGGTTAGTGCTTTAGTAGAAAAGAATCCGCTAAGCATCTAGATCTAAAAATACTAAATGGACTAAAACCCCTCCTCTACGCATGACACCTTGCAATTCAGTTATTTTATCTCGGTATGCATGTTGGCATATTTTCTATGGCATGTTGCGGTATATTTGATACATAATTCCGAGGTCACACTGGACAAGACGTGCACGATTAAAGAATTCACGAAAAAATCGCCCACAAAATTTTAAAGTGCATCAAAAGTGCATCCAAGTGCAATTCAATGGTGTTTGACTAAAATGTGATTGAAAGAAGTGGACGACAGAGCCGCATAACGTTAAAAATGCCCATAGAAATAGCGTGTGGTCAGCGAATTTGCTGCGAACTCAGCAGCATACATACTTAGTCTATAGATAGTGGCGTGTGTCCCGAGACCAGACCCTGGAGTACATCCAAAGAGGAAGTATAGTTATAGTGTGTGCTCGAGTGTCTGCCAACCGACCAGCAAATCGAATCGCCAAAACCCTCGACCTGAAAACTCTGTGCCAAAATAAATCAACATCCTCACCGTAAACCTAACACACAGTGATCACTCGAGCCAGCGCGCATGCTACAGTTACGTATACACTATACCGTACCGTGTGTGTTGTAAACAAGTTAGAGGGCGATAACGCTTAACAATGTCCAAATACGAATTAATGCTTTATCTAGCGGCGCAGCTTTTACTGGGTATGTATTTTGTTCTAATTTGCATCTGTGTGCACGAGTGTGTATGTGTGTGTGTGGTGTACTTATTGGCGCCTTAATTGCGAGTGTCGTAGTCAATATTATTTTCATATTTTCCCCCATATTTTCCCCTGCGCCGCTTGTGCTTTGTGGCTGTAGTTTTCCTTGTGTTACACACAAAGTACATATTTGGGGCTGCTGCGTACAACTCGCTAGTGGTTCCATAATCCTTTAGTAAAACACTACTTTGATATTACAGTACATACCCTATACATTGAGGTATATTTATTAGTTGTGTGTGGGTGTCTTTTGAAAACCAATAAGAATTCAAAGTTTAATGGATTAAAGTATTCTACCATATGCTGTAATCTTATATTAAATACACAAGTCTGTGTTGTTTTGTATATTTGTGACATAACCATAAAATATTGTGATTTTTCACCGTACAGAGTATCAATTTATCGAATCCCTCCTTTGCTCAACTCACTCTGGTCATGTGTTTGTGTGTGTGTGAGAGAGAGAATTTCTTTGAATGGATTGCGTTGCATTTGAAACTTGTTGTATTGGGGCTCGGGAGCGGGGGCTGAACTCTCTCACTCACTCATTATTTCTCGCTCTCTCTCTCTCTCTCACCCACTGCGCTCTCTTCCCTGTTGCTGTTGCTGCTGTTTCCTTTTTCCCCACAAGCGCCACTTTAAACCCATCCCTTTCTGTGTGCATAATGTGCCTGCTTATGTATCTACTTTACTATAAAGCATGCATACTTACATACATACACACAGAAAAGCATGGATACATACATATGGATGTGCATGTGCATGTGCACAGGCTGCGATCCGATTACCCCAAAGAACAGTGGGGCATAAACTGGTTTTGCCTTGGTGCTAACCATTCAATTTGTAATATTTTGTATTTGCCAGTGATTGAGAGTTCCATTTTCTGATAGAACTTTATGCACAATAAATATATGGTGACGTGGGATTGTGCTAGTGGTTCCACTGTGCACGCGTATATCCGTGCGGATACAGCTCGTGGCCCGGTAGCTGCATTGGGGTTATGCCCACTCAAAGGCTCTGGGGCTGCTGGTGTGTGGCCAGTGGAGCTAATTTCGTACCAAAATGGGGTTGCTCTCAATGGGGTCGTCGGTCCACGGTCCATGGTGTGCGAGAATGTGATATGTGTACAAAGGATAGGAGGGCGCCTACAAAGAGCTCTGGCTCTGGCTCCGGCTCTGGGGCCTGGGGTTCTGGCTTTGCCTGGTAGGTCCACTGAGCAGCTAAACATTATTTACCCGCCTTTCAAGTTCTTTTAGCCGATAATTCCATTAACTTTGATCTTTGTTTTCATTCCACCCCAACAGCCTGCTGCTGTATGCCCCATGGCATCCACGGATCCATTCTGCCCGAGGGACACCACAACATCAACTGCGAGCACTACGATGAGAAGATGTGCAATACGGAGCAGGACTGCACCGTCCGCATTGAGCGGTGCCAGGTGGAGACGGACAAGTTACCCAGCTGCTATGTGCTGTGGTCCGCCAACGAGGAGACGGGTGAGTGAATTAAATGCGAATGGATTGGGTGACATCATAAAGGCATACTGATTGTGCTTATTTCTCCCCATCGTTCCTGCAGGCGCCATGAAAATCAAAATGAAGGGCTGCTTCACCGACATGCACGAATGCAATCAGACGGAGTGCGTGACCAGCGCCGAGCCCCGGCAGGGCAACATGCACTTTTGCTGCTGCAAGGGATCACTGTGCAACTCGGACCAGAAGTGGATACCCACGACGACAGAGGCAACAACACAAGGTGTGTTCCTGTTTGGAGATTTGTCATTGCTCTGTTTACCCCAATTTTTTTGTGTATTTTTTATTTTTGTATTTTCCCCAACTTGTTTTTTATTGCATCTTCAAGTTGCGAGGGGAGTTATGCTCCTCAACACATCCCACAGCCAACTGCCATCCGAGGCAGCGTTTTTCGTGCTAACGAACTCTCGACGCGAAGTGGCGCCGCAGCCCCAGCAACCCCAGGAGCAGCAGCATGTGTTGCAATTTCTGCCCTCCCGTGCACGTTCGTGCGCTCTTTTCATATTTTTTTTATTTTTCATTTCATTTTGGGGTGTTGCTGCTGCTGCCAGGCCAAGCCTTTGCCCCTCGGTTAGAGCGTCTTTTGTGCCCTGCTCTTTGTTGTTTTGTTCTTGGGCTTAGCCCTCTTTTATCTCAAACGAAATGAGGGGAAAAAGAGATGCAAAATTGGGGGCGAACTTTCGTTTTTTGGTTCTCGTTTTGCCTTTGAGCAGCACACACACCCAGCCCCTGCTCCATGCCCCAACTACGGGTGTCACTTGAGATGTTGTTCACCTGTAGTAAGCGCTTAAAGCCCCCCTCTTTAATGTACGTTTGCAATTTCAGTGCCCAAGGAGAAAACACAGGATGGAAGCGATTTAATATACATTTACGTTGGCACCTCCGTGTTTACCGTCCTCATGGTCATACTGGGCATGGGATTGCTCCTCTATCGCCGTCGCAAACAGGCGCACTTCAATGAGATACCCACGGTAAGAACCGCCACCTCGCTGAGCTGTATTCTTTAACAAATTCCATTCTATTTCTTTAGCATGAAGCGGAAATCACCAACTCCTCTCCGCTGCTCAGCAATCGTCCCATACAGCTGCTGGAGCAGAAGGCCAGCGGTCGATTTGGTGATGTTTGGCAAGGCAAACTGCATGCCCAGGATGTGGCCGTGAAAATCTTTCGCATGCAGGAGAAGGAATCGTTTACCACAGAGAATGAGATCTACAAGCTTCCCCGCATGCGTCACCCCAACATTCTGGAGTTCCTGGGCGTCGAGAAGCACATGGATAAGCCGGAGTATTGGCTGATTTCCACCTATCAGCACAATGGATCGCTCTGCGACTATCTCAAATCGCACACCATCACCTGGCTGGAGCTGTGCCGCATTGCCGAGTCGATGGCTAATGGTTTGGCGCATTTACATGAGGAAATTCCCGCCTCGAAGACCGATGGCCTGAAGCCATCCATAGCGCATCGCGACTTTAAGTCCAAGAACGTTCTGCTCAAGGGAGATCTGACGGCGTGCATAGCCGACTTTGGCCTGGCCATGATCTTCCAGCCCGGCAAGCCTTGCGGTGATACTCACGGTCAAGTGGGCACGCGCCGCTACATGGCGCCCGAGGTGCTTGAGGGAGCCATCAATTTCAACAGAGACGCCTTCCTGCGTATCGATGTCTATGCTTGTGGCCTGGTCTTGTGGGAGATGGTGTCTCGTTGCGACATTGTGGGGCCAGTGGGCGAGTTTCAGCTACCGTTCGAGGCCGAACTCGGCCAGCGACCCACCCTGGACGAGGTGCAGGAGAGCGTGGTGATGAAGAAGCTGCGCCCACGTTTGCTCAACTCTTGGCGCGAGCATCCGGTGAGTGAGAAATGGCTTTTGCACTGTTATTGATTCATAATACTCTGTGGTCTTTTTTCAGGGTCTTAGTGTGTTCTGTGACACCATGGAGGAGTGCTGGGATCACGACGCTGAGGCTCGTCTCAGCTCGTCGTGTGTGATGGAGCGCTTCTCGCAAGTAAACAAATATCCCTCGACACAGCTGCTCATTAAGAATCACGTCAACATTGATGATGCCAAGGAGTCGACAAACTGCTTATAGAAGCGGTACTAAGTCGCAGCCTCAAGGGCAGGGCTGTGACTTGCCGGCAACCATGAATCAAACAAAAGCCTTTCGCTCAGCAGTCGTTAGTTGATAGTTTGATAATTAGGTGCGGCATCATGTTTCGTTTATAGATTTCTAGTTTTGTAACATCATCATCAGCAGATATCACACACTCACGCGCACCCACATACAGCCATGATCTTGCAACCGTTAGAAGTGAGCTAAGACAAAAACAAATTGTAAACTAAGCTAAAACAGAACAAAGCAGTGCGTTAGACGTTTGCTACTTGCATAGTAGATGTGTTAGTAACTCATCCCACATTGACTTCATTGACTGATAACCGTACATACACTTATATATACATATACATATATATGCATATATATATATATATATATATATGCATAGAATACATACACGTAACGTAGCTTTTTGTTTATCATTTACAAAGTAATTTGTTGAAATTATTGTCGCGCCAAGCAGCCTCTTTATTGTTTCATCAGCGAATGTCTCTTACCCATTAGACTTACTGTTTATTTCTATTATTAATTTTAATTTTTAAAATTTAATTTTTATTCTGTATGTAGTTTTAGTGTTTTTATTTGCCGCACACTACCGTTTGACTTCAATGTGCGTGTGTCTTTTCGATGTTGTATTTTAAATAAACAAAAAAAATACTTTTTAGCTGCTCCCTTTTGCCATTTGATTTGTTTATTATTTGCTTATTTTTTTATACTTTAAATCGTAGTGCCAACGACCCTCAGAGCTCACTTAACTCATGCCAAATGGGTGTGTAATTATCTAATTGTATTCTAATTCTACTGGACAGTACAAGCATCACCTGAAGTTTTCAAATGAAAGTTTCTTTTTAACGAGAATCTAACATAAGCGCATATTCATTATTATATATTATATATATCTATATATATATACACTCACACACACAAAAGCATAGGCACATGAAACACACACGCAGACTTAGGGGATTTATCTAATACATAATATGAAGCACACGCTGACAGCATCTACGATCTATGTACATATATCGCTAGAGGAGAGAACTTACCATACAGTACGTGTAAAATAAGCAAATGAATGAGTAAGTATGTTAAATATTGTTAAAAAAGAAAGCAAGTCTTACCATGTTACACATAGAGGATGCAGGAACGATTAATATTCTGCATATTGATTGGCAGCGTTGAATGATTTCCTTTGAAATTCTGTTTGCTCAGCGTCGGAAATATTTCTTCATTCATGTAAGATATCAACTACACACAAAACAAATCGAAACAAAGCTTCATTACCTGATTTTTTTGAGCAACTAACAACAACAAAAATAGTTTATTATGCAAAAACAAAAGCCAATCTTAATCTTAATAATAGAACAAATTTTGTTATGCTGCATTTAGTTTGTATAATTTCCATTGGTGCTGAAAGATCATTGAAACATATTTAATAGCCATGACATTAACGATCATAAGTCGAATCAGTATTCAGAAGAGGGCGAGCAAAACATGACATAGTGTATTTAATCAAAGTAGTTTGTTACATATCAGAATGGGTATAATGAATATACACAGACGAGTACATCTCTTAGAACATTTTCCATCGTGTTGCAGTGAAATTTGTATAAAATCATACACAAAGCGATAACTAAACCTTGTATGCACTTCATAAAACCATAAAACAATTTGAACATAGTCATGAAAATGTTTTTAAAACATCACGTTTTTCGAAATATCATCTGCAAGAAGTTTTATAAAAACCTACGAGTAATAAAATTATGTACGAAAAGAAGTCATGTTAATGTATAATAAAAACGATCTTTGATAGTAATGGATTTCAAATAAATAAGCAAATGTTTGATAAAACCCCGCACATGTTTATTGCTACAATGAAAAGTCAAATCTTTTTCCAGCTTTCGTTCCTTCGTTTTTTTATTACAATTTTTCTTCCAATACGAGTATACATGTACATTTAGTAGTAAATACAGACCATTTGGGTTATATAATTCAACAATACATATAGGAAAAACTTAGCCTTGTATGAATGAGTTATAATTATTTTGTGCAAGAAATGAAGGGGTTTGAGTAGGATATAATAGGGGGAAGTTTTAGAGTTACATCCCGCATCAACTTATCGAACCGAATCGAACGAATATAGACTGGTTTTACTTTGCAGACAATGTAAAATATATGTAAATGTATGTACGATTATGTATTGTATGTATTTATGTACAATCATCTACGTAGTTTTTTGTTTTTCTTTGACTTTGGACCATTTCAGTTATAGTTCTACATTCGTTCGTTCTCTGTTCGCTGTTCTTTCATCTCATGTCAGACTTATCCTTATGCGCCACCGTCAGAGAACTGTGTCTCTATGTCTGGGGAAAAAAATCGATCTCTATCAAATGCAAATTGTACGAGTAAAGCATTCCATGTCCCGTGCGTACTGAATGGGTGTCTTACTAAAATATATATGACTATATCTATATATACTATATATGTCTGTATATATGGTACTTGTATCTGTGTGTGTATAGTCACCTATGTATCTTATGATATCGAGTACATTTATCTTTCTTTATTGGGTTGCTCTGCAGCTGTAGTCGAGCTGTAACTATGTCCTAGGGCTAAACATATAAAGTTTATATAATAATATATATATATTTATATATAGGTTTTAATGTATATAAGTACTTCTTTGAGTTTGTACGATATGTTTGTCCTAGGGAGAAGAGAAAACATTGCAAATGGAGAAGATACAAGTTACAAGTTACAAGTTACAAGTTACTAGATGCATTATAGGTGTGTGTTAGGGACGGTTTCTAGGTTCGTAAAGCGGTCACACTAGTGGAGAGACTAGCGGGGCGAAAAGGGTTTCGAGTATACAAGAATATATGTGTGTAGATAGAGCACAGACCCATCTCCAATCTTTGGTACCTTCGAGTGTGTTGCTCAGCTTAGTTTTGGGTTTCACTCAGTAGGGATCTTCATTGCCGCCGGAGGACACGCCGCATTTGGAGCGCAGTATGGCCGCCAGTCGCTGTGTCAGTGGTTCTGTGGGTGACTCCGAGTCGCTGCACGAAGCGGAGGGCACCTTGTTGCCTGTAAAGGAGGGAAAAAGTGGAGTTAAAATGCGAATTTTAAACGAATTTATTGAGGAACTTACCATTGCTCACATCCAAATCCGTAACCGTGGTATCCTTCAGGCCAAAGCTCAGATTGACTGGCACAATGTCATCCTCCTCCTCCAGCAGCAGACTCGAATAGGAGTGCGTGGTGTTGTCGCTGCGTCCGCCTCCACCGCTCGATGAGTTGCGCGAGGAGCCCGAGTCATTGTGGCTATGGGAATGAGAGTGGGAGTGCGGCACAGCCAGGCCATCGACAGCAGCCAGATCCTGCTGCTCGTCGATCGGCAGCTCATAATCATCGCCACTGCTGCTGCTCTCCTCCTCGCCCTCCACATCCACATTGTCAATCTCATCGTCACCCCAGCCGTTGTCCTCCTCGGAGCAGTTGTGGCTGCTGTCACTGCCATCGCCATCACATTCAGCATCAGATTCACGCAGGTCCAGGGCCAGTTCGGGTGATGAAGATTTATTGTAGTTCTCATCGCTGTCACTGGATGTGGCCACTGCAGAGATTATATGGCAGAGCTTATAAATGGAGCATTAAGGCGGCAACGGCTGTACACACTCACCTCCCCGCAGCTTGTCCAGGATGAGCGGATAAAACTCCTTGGCCGTGCCATTGTTGGGCTCGTATTGGAGAACTAAATGGCAGAGGGAAGCATATCTATCATAAGTGCAAGCCACAAGTACCTTTCGTCGCTACTCACTCAATTTGCAATATTTCAATGCCTTTTTGTAGTCCTTGAGCATGACGGCGGACAGGAACTGCAGGAGAAACAACGCACAATAGATATTTGTATATAAATATAAAACAAATAAACCGAATGCCATCAAATCCCTTTTGAAATTCTCATAACATCTCAACAACAATGGCCACTGCTCCTCCTGCTCTGTTCCACTGGCACACATTGGGGTAGAGCGGATGCAGGACACAAAAGTTGACTCTTCTCAAAGTTGAATGCGCTTGAAAGCAATTTATTAGCAATCAATACGCTGGCATGCAGAGCAGGAGGGTGGCGTAATCCTGCTGAAAAGGTCTTAAAATTAAATCCCCAATCTGTGCTGGCAGTGCAGCAATTTTGCATTTGCATAAGTTCTGTTGCATCTTTGTGCCAGAAGTGTGCCACACTCAGATAATCAGATAATCGGAGGTACCTCAAGGCTACAAGGAGAGACCAAGGAGAGGCGTAAACGCTCGATCCGTAGAGGGTTCTTTAGGGTATTGCGGTGGCATTCTGCGGTTTTATAGATCAAGTTCCTGTGCGAGTTCTTACCTCGGCGAGAAACTCTGTGGGTGCGGATATGCTCTCATCCGCATCTGTGTACTCGGACAGGCTCTGACTGAGGTCCTCGCTGGAAGCGGAAGTTGGCAGAGTGGACGCTGATGCAGCTGCTGCAGCGGCGGCTCCATTCATTATGTTTATGTTATTTGCTGTGGCCAACGTTGTCGGACAGCCTGCTGCCAACCCACCACCAGCTGCTGCTGCTGCTGCTGTTGTGGTTGTGGTTGGGGCAACACCTGCGCCCATCATGCTCCCATTATCGTTTTCCGTTTGGCTGCTGTTCGGCTTGACCGCATAGACGCCATTGCCATTCGATTTGTCCATGTAGAGATGCTAAAACAGAAGGGATTACGACACCTCAGTATTGGTTTTATAAGTCTTAGGTAATGTTTGCTACTCACATTTGATGACATGATCGATTTTTGTTAGTTAATTCTTATTTTGCGTATATTTTGCTTGCTTTATTCAAGCATTCTCCGTAGATAATCTGAAGGAAGACGTAAATTAAAGTTAGATCTTGATTGGCGTCTCAGTGCAGCAATTGCTTTGCCTCTAATTGGATTGCCTCACCTTCGACCTTTGGCCACAAAGGAGCTCGGAACTGCCTTTGGTTAAATGTTAAATGTCAAATGCTAATTTCACTACTTTCAGATCAGAGCGCAGACAACTCGTACTCCAACCGCTGAGATAAATTTAGCCAGACTGCAGGCAAAAAGCGAAATCAAGTGTGGCCTGGCGCCCCCTCAGGGGGTCTTCCTTTTGCTCAACTAGTGGAATAAGGCTGCCTCGACACGCGAACATATTTGCATGACTGTGGGCTCTGCGCTCCCCCTGTGTGTGGCATGTGGCATGTGGCATGTGTGGGAAAAGTGGAAATGCACAAAATTGTTGGCGTTGTTTTGTTGCCCGTTTAATTGGCGCGCGACATGCGCCACGCCTGGAGCTATGCAACGAATGTTTGCCGCTGCACGAGTATCTGTCTGCCCCATTCAATAATTGAAAGTTATGTGGAGTACTCCTCTCAAGCCCCCAAGGACTCGTGGCCCATCATTAAAACCAATAAATTTGCTTTACCGCTCGACAAGCGGAATGATTTACTTAACTGACTTTTGGCCACGGTGCTATGAGTCTGGCCGGAGTCCGACTGCAAAATCAATATCAATAATGGCATATCTCTCGACGTGCTGGGAAGTCATAGCTGACGTTGCCATAATTGCTTGTTTACCCTGCTCCGAAATGGCACTTAATTTTATTTTATATCCAATGCATTGAATCCTAATTGCTTCGTTGCTCGTCTGTGTCTGCGTCTCTGTCTGGCGCAGTCTTTCCCAATGTCATTCTGTCCATCATTTGGTCTCTTTCTGGGGCTCTGTCTTTATAAACAACACGTCAGTCACTCAATTGTCTGCGATTTGTTTGCTTTTCGCCGTTGATCCTTTTCACGTTTTTGGCATTTTCAAAAGTCAGACATGTCTGTGCGACCAGCCGTCAAAAGAACTCTCTAACCAAAAGTGAAATGTTTTCTTTGTAGAAATATATGTACGTACATATGTAGGTATATGTAGTACATAAGCTACACTGCTGCATTTACCAGTTGGCAAAATGTTACTCTTTAGTTGAGATTCACAGAGAAAGCTTTCACTTTGGATTTTGCCCAACATGTGTTACAGTTCTCAGGACAGTTTTAGTTTTGTGGCTGTTTTCCCCTGTCCGTGTTTAGGTGTAGCTCAGCTAGTGGAATAACTAATTGCGAATACATGAAGTACGAGTTGGAGCAAAGTTTTAGCACAGAAGATTACTAACTTTATTGCAAAAAGCTGTCCAGAAATGTTCCCCGAAATGCTCAACAGCAAGCAAGTTTTTGCCATTGAATCTGTTCGAACTTGAGCTTACTGCGTGGCAAAATCATTTTCATTTGCATAATTAAAATGTCTGCGGGGAAATTGAATTTCCATTGCTGACTGGCCACTCACCTTGCCCCAAGCAGCAGGCAACACACACAGCCAGGCAACCCCGTGCAGAACGAACCAGAATTTAAAGTCAGCGAACCGGAAAGTAATATGTACATATGTACACAGATATGTAAGCTAAGCTGGATGTAATATGTACATATGTACACAGATATGTACATATATGTATGAATGATGTGTATTTTGTATGTGATGGGGTCAGTGCAGTAAAATTGCATGAAAAGTCATTACAGTAACTGCAATTCGGGGCTTGTCCAGTCTGAAAATGGTAGCGAATAATTTATAACAAAACACTTAAAAGCGACGGGCGATACGAATCCCAGACTCGAACGTTTGCCAAATTGCCGCCCGGTTGGGGCTTATTTAGGCCCAAAACAACATGCAATATGTAACTGCTTTGCCGATGGCAATCCTGGCACTAGCCCAAGGAACAGGGAGAGGCAGTTTAAACCTTAGGTCCATGTTCCTGCCATTGGCTATTCAGCAAAAGTTAGTCAGGATACCGCACGAACAGGAGGCGTTAATGAGTTTTCCAATTTAATCAATTTTTTACCAGAACATTCGATGAACAATGACCCCCTGCCACATCATTGACTGCGTCCTTGGGTTTGGTCAATAAAATGCGAATTTATGATGACTTTTGAAACTGTAATAACATTTCGTTTTTTATTTATTTGTTGTCATATCCGTAGTGTAGCTCTCGGCACCTTACGTGGACTTGGAAGCGAGAGCTGGAATTGCGGCCAAATGGCCAGATTATAATGATCGCCCCAGACTGCTGTTATCGTTAGCTGTTAGCGGCTGCCAAGCGTTGGCCATTGAGCCAGTAGTCAGTTTACATACGTACATATACTTGTACATAAATATACGTGGGACAAAGGCTGTTTAAAAAGCAAGTCAAAGCTGTAACTATTACAATTTTCATTGAAACTTTTACCATTTAGGCCGTGTTGTTGCACAAAAGTTACTGAAATGTCTGCACATAGAAATATAACCTTAAAAATATCTATGAATATTTTCAATTTGTATTAAACTTTCTATGCAAAAGCACTTTCAGTTTCTTTTGCTTGAAAAATCTCATGAAACTCCTACACCAAATTGAAGTGAAGTGAAATAAAACTTTTACGACTGTTTAATACACAAAATAAATAAAAAACTTTCTGTTTAAAGAAACTTTAAGACACGCTAACCCAAAACTCTTATTCTGGCCAAAAAATGAGAGAAATTTAAGGCTGCACTTTTTGCGGTGGTCCCACTATCATATTTCATAGTTTCATGGCATAGAAATTTACAAAAAAAAAATAAGCACAAGGGTCCCCGAGTAAGACTCTTCTTGCCGGACCGAAAAGTTGCAAGTTGAAAAATTTGCCTTGCCACCCCGTAAGGGAACCCGCCCAGGACGAGGGTAATAAGCGGTTTGTTGTGGTCATTGCCTTTATAGGAATTACAATCGATATTCAGCGGCGGTTTGCTTGCATTGCTGGATGTTGGTATCTATTCGTCTAACGCCGAAACTGAATGCGGCTTAGATGACCAATGAAGCGGAAAATAAGCAATTATGATACTTTACATAGCCACATGGAAAACCATATATGGAACACCTCTGACAGGCACATACGCAATGTTTCCTTGGTTGTGGCTTTGCCTTGAGGTTCGCCTGAATCCACATAAAATCCCAATGCAAAAGTTCCCATACAATAGAACCAAACAATGCGGGGCTTTCAGGAGAATATTGCGCATTGTCAGTGCGTGGTTTTGTTCTACGTTCTCATGGCTTGTACAATGTGCAATGTGTACATATGTGTGTACAAATATATTATATACTTGGTATATAGTGCACAGCGTAGGTCTGTTTTTGTGTCGACTTGATGCACTCAGGCAGTAGTCACCTCCGCTAAGCCACAGCCACTAGCAGTAGCCACTCATACTCGTATTCATTCACCGACTCACGGGCGCATAAGTCGCTCAAGTGGTAATTAAAATTATACCAACAAAGCGACAGCTCTTGGGCCAAGAAAGACACACCAAGGGAGGTGGCTGAGGGTGAGAGCTGATGGAGCCCCTGGCTGTCACAGAAAGCAAAGCGGAAACGTTGCGACCAAGAGAGTCTCCTCCTGCAGCCGACTGCGACACACACGCTAACAAGTTGCGGCTGTTCACACACACACGCACACACACGTTCAAAGTGCATGCACCAAAAGCCCAGAGAGTAGGCTAAGACGAGACTCTCTGCTATGAAATACCCATTACCACCAACATAACCTGAGATACATTCCCATGAGAGCGATTTCCAAGTATTTTCAAGAGTGAAAAGTTCTCAAAGCGGAAACGAAATCTTATGTACAAAATAAACAACTAAATTCCAAATACAAAATCGAACTAAAATTTGCATTTTGCATACATTTCATTGAATCCAACATGCCCTTGTACCGTGTTTAAAAATACATTTACTCATACAACGGCGCTTTGACAAGTTGAAATATTTATGAGTGCCCGTCGACTCGACCTAAAGACGCTGGTGACAAGCCAAGAAGAGCCTAAAACAAAACGAGTACACAGCACACACGGCAAAAAAAAAAGAAATAATAATGAAAAGAATACTATAAATAATACTACGTACTATGTACATGTGTTTTTTTGCCTTATAGAACCTTTCCAACTTTTGGTATAAAGCCCAGATCAAATTCATGAAGATAGACCCGTTTCTTGCAGGCTTGCTCACATAGCGCCATGGTCTTATATCTATTCGAGCCATATGCGATGCATTTTAATACTGCTCTGTCACAACGGTTCGTGTCCTCAGTGTAGTAGTACGCGATGATCCTTCTATTACAATCTCCCGTGCCAATGGGCTTTTGCACGCAATCGGGACTTATGCCAGTGACCAACAGGGCATAGCAAATCATGAGGAAGATCACCAAGAGTTTCATGTTCCGCAATGTTTGGAAGGTAAATTCAAACAAAACGACTGCAATATCGCCAACAACTGCTTGGATAAGTGAAACTAATGCTGTGACTAAATTAATTTAATTAAATAACACGCTAAAAGAATTTTTAGAGAATTTAATTTGCTTTACTGGTTTCTAAAGCATTCTGCACTCAGCCTTGCATGTTGCCTTCTGCTCCAAAATTGATTCAAATTTGATTCAAACTGGAACTTACCTTAGCATTATATGAACACCTCTCGGGTTTCGAGTTGATCGTTTAGTGCATCATTAAAAATAATCTACTGTGCAGAAAATTTCGAGTGCACGGCAACACACACACACACATATATACACTATATACAAATATTAAAATAAAAAGAGAATATTAAGCAGGTGTGTAGGTGTAGCTACCGCCAAGGGCGAATCTTAGTGCGTCTGGCAGGGACGGCAGGCAGTCTACCAAAAATTGTAGAGACTTGCTGACAGGGCATTGTGGCCTACCTTCAAAATATTTACGAGTTGTGGCACCTCCTTTCGGCTGCGGCCTCAACCAGGTAATGCATCCTCCAACTTCGCCCTTCCGCTGCTGCTGCGTGGTTGGCAAGTCCCAGGCTTAATTAGGACCGAGTCCCCGGACTGTCCTCGAATTAAAGATTCAGCGGTGAGGGGCAAAACTAATTAACGGTTGGTTAGCGCGTGTGTTTTTCTGGGCTACTACGCAGCTGATGCTGGCAACTTTGCAACTGTACAACTAACTGTTCCTGACTCTCGCTCACCACACACACAGACACAAACAAAGCCCTGCGATGGGCTCTTCGGTTGTTGCTTTTGGTTCAATTTGTTGCACAATTTCGTGGAATATAATCTTTGTTGCAGAGGAATATGCAAACACTTTTTCTCTTCGCTTGGCTCAAAATTGTTCCGCCTTTTTGCGTTTCTGCAGTTTTGCTTTTATTAACAGGAGTCGACGACTGAGCGAAATGTCCTTTTTATACACACTTGTTCGCTTTTATTTTGCCAAGGCGAGAGCTTTTGATGCTCTCTCTCTCCATCACTGGCTGCCTGTCACACTGCCTCGCTCTCTCGAAAGCAAAGAAACAGTTAACATTTCTCTCGGGGTTTGTTTTGTGTTTCAAGTAAGAAAAGCTTTTTTAGTTACAGGGTGACCCATGCTGAGCGGCTTTGCACGGTGAAGAGGTGACAAAAAGTGACAAAATATCAAATAGTTGGCCAGGTTTCGATCAGAGACATTTAAATACTTTTAGTTCTTCTTGAAAACTCTAAACCACACACAGATTTGCTATAAATCGAATCACTATATCGTTGGATCGTTCAAATAGCTATTCATAGTGACAAAATTCATACTCTCATTTGAGACTGAGTAGCTAAATATTTTTAAATTACAAAAAAATATATAAATATTGTTCAGATTTGATATACATAATGGAAAATCAAACCTTTGAGGATCTAAAGGCCTTTGAGCGTCGCTTGGCAGAAATCTTTTTTAGCCGGAAACAGACTGCGCAGTACTGGCGTCCTATCGTCCTCGGTGAAATGGTCTGCAGCGTAATTTGTGCACTCTGCTTGTTGGATAATCCTCACAATATTAGTTATCTATCAATTATGCTCGTGTTAGCTCCTCTGGTGTATATTTTGCATGGGATCAAGCTTCTGGAAAATAAGATAATTCTAGGACGCTATCGCATGGTGTTGAACGAATATGCCTTGGACGTTAGCGAAGATAAAAAACTTATTGTCACAAATAATCGCATATAGTCATATTCGGACAGCGACTTGTTAATTACATTGTTATTAAATTGTTGTAAAAACCATTGGTAAGTGTTTTCAATTGAGTTTAGTTTTATTTGAAACTAATTAAACGGTGTGTACATTACATTTAGATTGTGTTGCTTTGCACTTGTATCCTAAATATGCTCTCTTTGATGTAGAAATATAAAATCTATATAGTATTTGCAAAACTAACAATCACATTCGACTAAAATCTACCATTATAAGCGACAGATAAAAACAAAAATCAGCGAGCGACGCACAATTACGATTAAAAACAACAACAACTACAGCTCGCTGATTCTCCATTATAATAGGACGGCCGGCACATTAGATGCCCGGCGGTGTCCGGTTGTCCGTTTCCCGATGCGTATCGTTTTTTAGTGATTTTTCAAATCAAATATTTCACGCAGCAGCGGCTCCACCTGGGATGGGTTAACATTTAAATAGACATTTATAATGAATTTATTCAGACGCTCCACATCTGAAATCTTTTGGATTAGCTTGATAAACGCATTTTTCGCCTCACAGCCAGAGTAAACACTCTCCAAATATCTTCGCAGAAGATAGTAGTAGGAATTCTACAAAAACAAAAAAAAAACTATTCAAATATTTCTTATACTTAAATTCCCAAAGAGGACGCACCTGTTCCAATCGAATCACGTCTTTGTGTATCACTCGGGATCGTGCTGAAGTGAACAGGACAATGGCGCACATTATCAATATGATGTTCTCATCCATGCGCCACTTCTCATCAAAGGTGGTAATAAATTTCTGATGTTCCTCATAAATATTTCCATCGGCAATCTTCAGCAGGTCAGTACGTATGTTGCCCATGTTCTCTTTGGTGTGTGGCACCTGGAAAGGAAAAATAACAATTTATATTCATGTGTTAAAGAATCGTGTTAAAGAATTGTCTGCCTTACTTTCCATGCATTGCGATCATCGTCATAGATCATTGCCGAACGCATTATCATCATTTCGGTGCAGCCGCCTTTAAGCAGGGCCACCTGGTCCTCCTGGCACATGTCACGGAATGCACTTATCTTCTTGGCCATCTTGATTAGCCGCTTAATGGCCACAGCCGTCAGATTGATCAGTTGCAAAAGCTTCGGATTATGTCGTGTGTCGTCAGGCTGGGGTCGAACAATAAAATATAACGCACAGGTGGCCCATTATTATCGCACAAAACATTAGAGTCTAGGTTTGTTGTCTATGATATTGTGACTCAATCGCATGGTGCGGCACATGCTTATCACAGCGCCAAACACCTGCGTGCTCCACATTTCGTAGAAAATGTATCGTATTCCCTAATTAACAATAATAATGAAATGTGCTAATTGCGATGAATAAACGTTGAATAAACGTCGCGAAGCAATCGTCAGCTGGGAGGCTCATGAGCGCCTGCTGCCTTCAGTTGATAATGGGTGATAATGCCATGCCATCCCATCGTTTGTCGCTGCCCGCGGCTGATAAAGCCACTGTCTGGTCGGGTCGCCCCAGACAGAGAGAACGAGCGAGCGAGCGCGCGAGAGACTTCACTTTTATGGCGAAGATTATTCAATGTTGTGTTTACATTTTTGAGGAGCGCTTTGCTGGGCACACAGAAACACCTGGGAAGTGACATGTCAATGCGATACGCACGGCACTGACTCACGTCTCGCTGTGGTCTATGCCAGGTGCTGAATATATATAGCGAACGCCTCTGGCACTGCACGATTAGATAAGCCGGGCCCGGGCACTGTTAAGAGTTATAACTAAAATAATGAAGGGGTGCTTGGTGGAGCTAATGACTTTGGTGGTGGTGGTGATGGTTGTTCTGTCGCTATTGGTCACCTTTATGCGATCGTCGCCCATCATCAGGGCACTTAGATCCTCGTCCACGGGATCGTAGAGAGCTTCGCTGGCCAAGCGCAATTCGCGCAGCTTCATTTGCTCAGCTTCGTTCAGTTCGCGGTCCATGTGCATGCTCGATGGAGCGCAAATTGGCTGCTGAGGCAGTTGCTGCTGCTGGTTGTTGCTGGAGTTCGGATTGCAGCCACTGTACGACTGACCGCCCATATAGGACATCTCCTCCTTTATCCGCGACGCAGCCTGTATGCTGTTGAACGCCTGATACTCTATCCGAATGACCTCCGACAGCACAGACTCAATCGAATTGATGCTGAAATCGCTGTCCAGACTGGGCTCATCGTTGTAGTTGGTCTGCATGAACGTCTTCAGGTCAAAGTCGGGCGAATTGGCTATGTCGGGCAGTGGATGGCTGCTCGATGTGCTGGGCTGTTCACTGCCCATTGGGTTCGAGCTGGGCGAATGGTACTGCAAGTCATGGGGCGAGCTGGCGCTTGTGTGGACTGGCGAGGGGCTCCCGCTGCCCAGCATCGACTGTATAACTGTATCCACGCGTTCACTGGCTGGCTTTCCGTTTTGTTCCGGCTCTGGTGCGCCGCTAGCCTTGTCCAGCAATGGCTTGCGGTCTGTTAATTGGGCAGTGTTCGTGCCGCCACTTAAGATGCGATTGACAATACGCAGCGCCTCCGCTGGCGTGTTCATGAACTTGTTCATGATATCAATGGCATCCTCCGGCGAGTGCATCAAGTTCTGCATGAATTCCACCACATCGGCTGGCGAGTCGACAATCTTAGAGATAATCTCAACCCCATCCGTGGGGGAACTCATGAACTTTGTGAATACTGTCAAAGCGTTGAACGGCGAGTTCATAAATTTACTTATGATCTTCAGCGCATCGCCTGTAAAGAAATGCATGGGATAAACAATATATAAATGTGTGTATGTCATGATCTGCACCAACCTGGATAGTCAATCAAGTGGGAGACCAGTCTGAGGGCATCCTTCTGTGAGCCAATGACTTTCTCCATCACCGAAATTGCCTCCTTTTGGGTGCGCATCAATTTGTTAATGGCCTGGGACGCACGATCCGGGTCGGAGACAATCTGCTCAACGATTTTATCGGCCGTCATCAGCAGCGGATTTATTTCGCTCGACGAGCGTCCAGCCACACAGCCATTGGCGCCGCCGCTCTCTACAGAACCGCAGCTCTGCGAGTCCTGCGATCCGGAGTACAGCTCCAAATTGCTGCTGCTGTCTGCCTGGGCCTTGCTGTCATCGGGATCCGAGGCACCGTCCCCGCCGGTGTGCTCCATCATGCGCCGTTTGGCGCGATTATTCTCGATTTTGCGCCGCTTGATCAGCTTGTCCTCCTCGGACATGATGTTCTCGCTCTTCATGCCAATGTCCAGGCATTTTTTCAGGCGGCATTTTTGGCAGAAACGCCTCGTTACCACTGTGATGTCACAATTCTGGTTAAACGGACAGGTGAACTGTTTCTTGGCCAGCGCATTCCTGCGAAAGAATGCCTTGCAGCTCTCGCAGGTTACCGCGTTGAAGTTATAGCCCAGGGCCTTGTCGCCGCAGACGGCACAGTTTTTTGGCGGTGACATGTCACACAGCACACAGCACAGCTTTCAGCTCTCAATTAGAATTCTGATTGATTTTTTAATTGCTTTGGCTTTTGTTGTGGCCTCCTGCTGCTGGTGCTGGAGGTGGCTTATGGTGCGGGGGGACTGCCGTAAGGTAAAAGCACTTGAAATTCGTCAACAGCTACAACTGACGCTGCTTGTCAACATATTATGATCTACATTAAATTTATTGATTGCACATAATGGCCCTATAGCACGCAGAAAATCACTAGTATTCGTTATCACCACATAATTTTTAATTTGCCCAATTCTAGCCCAAAACCCAATAACAACAAGCCGCGCGCACACGCGAATGGCAAAGAAGCGCAGTTATGAGCAAAGCGAGTGTAACTATCGATAAAGATACTCCACTGCCATCCCTAAGCCGATAATATTCGATTGCATTTCGCAGCTGACAATTTCTTTTCCGCAATTAAACAATAAATTATTAATTAAAATGAATCGCGTAAAGACCACACAGTCCAAGACTGGCGAAATCATTGCCTACAGCGAAGGAGCCATTCGCAACAACATATCTGCCGTCGAATACTGCCGGACATCGATGGCCGCCATCTCAGGCTGCGCCGCTGGTAATTGACACTGATTGGACCCCCACCAAACGTGCGCCAATCTCCATTTATGAATGAATGCACTCTTATTTTCTAGGTATTTTGGGCCTGAGCGGAACACTGGGATTCCTCTTCTACTTCCTGTCGGTGTTTGTTCTGTGGCTGATGGTGCTGCTGAAGTCGGGCACGCAGTGGCGCAAATACTTCATTAGCCGCAGCAATCTGCTGACCAACCAATTCATGGGCGGCCTTTGCACCTACGTGCTCTTCTGGACATTCTTGTACGGCATGGTTCACGTGTATTAACTTGGCGCATTCACAAACAAATAGAACAATAAACATAAGATTTGACTAGGAAACACACAAAAAGGAGACATATGGTTTTAGGTTTGTACAACCGATGCGGCCGCCGCTGTACCCGAGCAGTCGCACCATGGAGTTTTATTTACATCACAATCAAGCATAATGTTCAGCACGGTTATGTCGATCCCGTCGATTGTCAGTCCCTGCACCTTTAGTATTTTGTACTTGACATTGTCGAGACCCGTTTTGTGGTCCCGCTTGCGGGTCATCTCCTTTTGATTGAAGCACTTTTGAGTGTCCCGCTTGCGATGATGGCGATTGTGAATATGGCTAAGGAGATAACAGGCAGTTAAATGACATTACGAATGGCTTAATCTGTGTGCTTGTGCCTACCCAAATGTGTCGTTGACGCCAGTCTTAATGTTTTGTGGTCGCGTGACCTGCAGTCCTGCATCCCGGATGCGCACGAAGAACTCATCATCCTCCAGACCCCAGCCCCAATATTGATTCGACATGCCGTTCATTTTCTGAAAGTGCTCACGCCGCACCAGCAGAATCCCACCAACAAAGTTGTCGTAGTGATATTTTGGATGCAGCTTTGGCCCGGCAATGTGCAGCGGGCCCAGGTTGCTGGGATATTCGTAGAGCAGATCGTCGTTGCGCGGCAGCAGGTCGACGTCGTGCATGGCAATATAGTCGTAGACCTCGTGGCAAAACTGGAAGCCCACGTTAATGAGGGAAGCGCGATTAAAGCGGAACCTGTCCACCTGATTCAACAGGAATATGTGATGGGCAACACCTTGCCGCTTAAGGAAACCAGTGATATGTGGCACAAACTGCAGCAGCTCCTCGAAACGGTCCCGGAACGGCACCAACACAGCCATCTTGTGCGCCGCCGTGCTGTGGTCATGCTCCTGTCCCTTGGGTGCGGGCGTCACAGGCGCTGATTTCTGCACTGGTCCACTACCCACAAGTTTCGCCAATGGATTTGACAGCGGGCATATGCAATCTAAAAAAAAACCAGCAACGCCATTCGGTATTTATAGAATCCATTCATGCCAGCGTGCGACCTACTCACCTGAACCCAGCGGCATGAAACTTAGAACCGCTATGCCGCCCAAGCAGAAGGACAGGCCGCAAACAAAACCCCAATTTATGGTGGATATATTAACCATTGGAATTAGCGAATTTAGGCTGTCCGTCAAGCTAAACACTGTGTCAAATCCATAGGCAAAAGCTAAAAACTATTAATATTTATACAATTTCAGGTGCTAAAGATTACTGCCTATCGAATGCTAGTCGAGTATGTATTCGATGACGCGTCAGCTGTTGCATGCCGTCGATAGGCAACGTGCCACCTTTTGAGCGACACGTTTGAATACGTGTAACGGTAAGCCGATTCCAGGTGTAATTATTTGATTAAATTATTAATAAATGTATAAACTGGCACTGCCCTGACTTTAGCCACTTCAACACAGGCATTACTCTCTCCAAAGCATATATTATGGATGAATCTTATGATAAACTATGGACAGCCTGCATGACGTAATTCTACTTCCAGAACTTCTTCACGGACATGTTCTTCTCGGAGTCCTTTTGCATCACCTTGGAGACGGCCATCTCAAAGTCTTCCTGAGTGACGTGAACGCGGCGCTCGCGCAGAGCATACATGCCAGCCTCGGTGCAAACGCCCTTGACCTCGGCACCAGAGGCGCCCGGCATCAGCTCCGCAATCTTGCGCAGATTGATGCCACGTGTGAGGTTCATCTTGCGCGAGTGGATCTTCAAGATGTCAAGGCGAGCCTCCTCATTCGGTGGCGGAAACTCGATCTTGCGGTCGACGCGGCCGGGGCGCAGCAAAGCCTGGTCGAGGACGTCAATGCGGTTGGTGGCCATGATCACCTTGATGTTCTTGGTGGCCTCGAAGCCGTCCAGTTGGTTCAGCAGCTCCAGCATGGTGCGTTGCACTTCAGAGTCACCCCTGCCGGTCTCCACGCGAGACGAGCCAATCGAGTCGATCTCGTCCATGAAGATAATAGACGGAGCGTGCTCGCGCGCCATCACGAACAACTCGCGCACCATGCGCGATCCCTCGCCGATGAACTTCTGCACCAGCTCCGAGCCGGAGACGCGTATGAAGGTGCACTCGGTGTGGTGGGCCACGGCGCGTGCCAGCAAAGTCTTGCCGGTGCCGGGTGGCCCGTATAGAAGCACGCCCTTGGGCTGCGCTATGCCGAGGGCGTCGAAGAGCTCCGGGTGCTTGATGGGCAGCTCGATCACCTCCTTGATCTCCTTAATCTGCTTGTCCAGGCCACCGACCATCTCGTAAGTGGAGTCCGGCACCTTCTCAACCAGCATCAGTGACACGAGAGGATCAACCTTGCTCGGCAGGATCTTGTGCAGAGTGTAGCTGTCGGTGCGCAGCGCCACGCGGCAGCTGGGCACCACGTCCTTAATGTCAATGTTCTTGTCCACATCCACCACGTACTTGCCCTCAGGGTGCACCTTCACCAGCACCTTTTCCTTGTCCATGGCCATTACCACTTCGCCCACGTGGCTGCCATGCTCCTGCAGCAGCTGCAGTTCCTCGCGCAAGAGGCGCACTGTCAAAATTAGTGGAGAATCAGCAGTGTCTCTACCAGCAACTGGACTACTTACCCTTTGCATTAAGCTCGTTGCGCTGCGCCTGCAGGCGGCGCAAATTGTCGTTCTTTTCGGCCACGGTAAACTGCAGCTCAGAAATCTTTTGCAAGAAGTAGGATTGAAATCCCGGGCCTTTGTCGCTGTCACAAGTGGCGGCCATAAGCCCAATATCAACATCCATCTTCATCATGACTTCAAAATTCGAATTTAATCGTACAATTTTTTCAATTTGGCACCCAAAAAAAATGTTGGCAAATTTGAGCTGCGCCTTTTTTTCAGATGAGACGACAGTTTTCAGTCAGTGTTGTATAATTTCTGCCAGTTGCTTCTTTAGTGTTAATTAACGTTTGTGGTAGAAAAATGTGTTAACGGATTTAGCAGCTAGTACTAAGCAGCTAGTACTAAACACTATAGTGTAGTATACTATTTGGTTAGTGTACTAAGTCAGATAAAAAAAATGTTTCTAGCAGTTTGTGCCAAGTACATGTTATGTGTTAAAGGTGTGTACCACATGCCGTTACACTATTCAAACAGCTGTTTTGGTTTGTTTACTTTGTGAAAACGTGTGAAAAGTTCATAAAAGTGACTAAAAAGTGTATGTAGTCAGGAAATTACCTCATGTGGGATCTTGTCGCCATTAATTTAACCCAGCCGCATGTTAGGTTTTAGTTTTTTGCTCTCCATTTTACAATGTTTATGTTTTGTTTGCCAGCAAGCGGTGGTTCCGCATGTCTGTCAGTGATTTCACAGCGAATACAGTATTTTCCCCCAATTAAACACTTTGTTGTACATTTCAATAAAAAGCGTTGTATTTATTTATTAGATTACAAAGAAAAGCTTGCATATATAAATTATGATAAGGTATGGAAACACAAGAGCTGTTCTTAAAAGACATATCAAATAAATAAGATCTAAATTAAAATTTATTTATTTATTTTTAAAATTAAATACTTAAGACTACAACTATATTTAGAGATTATATAAATCTAATTGATGTTCGTGTGATTGGGTTTCACAGCATACACCGCTAAAGCTCAAGTGACTGAAAATTCAAATTGTGTTGTTGTTGTTGCTACTAATCTATACTACGACCAATGTGTAAATATCAGCGCGCGGCTTGCTGATAGTTTAAAAAAATAGTTTACAAAGTTAACTGCTACGTTAATGTGTTCTCCTCTACTGTGTATATTTTTTGATTTTCAGTCAGTCGAGCAATAGCGATTGCCGACAGTTTGTTCGTTTCCATATTTTTAGTTTCCGTCTTCAGTTGATCTAAAAAATTCTATGATGTAGACTAACATTGTGACTGTCGCCACAAATGCATTTGCATGTGCGTTTTGGGGGGTATTGCAAATGCATTGCAGCAAAGTACAAAATTCATTTCAATACGTTTAAAAACTATGCAATTCGTGGTTCGTTTCTTGTAAAAATTGCTATAAAAACTAGTTCGTTCGTTTCTTCCATTTTACACGTATTGTATATATAAAAGTATAAAAGCTTGGAATAGTTCATAGAAGATACAATTTCTCTCAACTCAATTCAATTCAATTCAACTGATCTGATTTGATCCTGGGATTGATATTGATCTCATTGTGCGCGTGTTACAGGCGGATTTCGTTGTTCTTGCAACAAAAGAAGACTAGAAGCAACAATTATACACAAAAAAAAAATAATAATAAAGTGACTAAAATACTATAAAAGCGCATTGAAGAGAAATACAAATATTGCTATTTTTTTTTAAATAAAAACAAACAAAATGAAACGCTTTGCTTGGTTGTTTGCCGTGGCTCTTCGTAATGCCATTGATTGTGTTTGTGGGGGGCTTTCTACTGTTAATCTATTTGATTTGCTTGGGGCTGTATTGGGTTGCTTTTGCTTTTTGTGTGTTGAGAGTCTCCTGAAAGCGATTTGTATATGGCGGCGGGCACAATGAACGACTTTACAAGGCACGCGCGACGGTTGGTTGGTTGCTTGGCTGGGGTTGTGTGTGTGTGTTATACAAAATACAAATACAAAATACATAAGTAATTCATTTTAAGTGAGCGCGTCTCTAAATTAATTGCACCTATACTATGTATACAGTACAATATCACTGTTTGCTTCGTCACCAAATAACCTAATCCGAAAGCAAATTGCCATAATTTAAATCAAATTGAAAAAAAGAGTGCAAAATTATAATTGATTCCTATTGCAAATCGATACAGCAGGGCTCGGCATGGCCGCTCTGCCGCGGCGCTGCCACTCACGTACACGTTCATTACAGTTATTCGCACCAATATCAATGCTTTGCAATGTTCCGTTGTGAGTGCATGCGTGCCGAGCCTTGCGGTACAGTGTCCCTCATTAGTTTTGGCACCTAGGTATACGTACACATATAGTACATACGTTTTGATAAGGTTCTGATTCTGATACTGGGTGCTGGGCTTCTGTTTCTCTGTTAATTGTGTTCTGGGATTGGTTCGTCTGTTTTTGTTGTGTGATTGTTTGTCTGCAGTGCTTAAACATTAGTTAAAATTATATTTAGTGAGCATGGCTGTTGGTGGTTCATCTCTTGCGGCCCGCCGCAGTGGTGGCCATTATTTGTTGCATAGTTGGACCGGGAATGCATTGCTGTGGATCGCATTTCATCTGGCCATCGCCGCCGCAGCTGTAAAGAATTTAAGAGAAAGATAATTAGCAACAGTCTGGCAACACTCTTTTGTACTCTTATACTCACGTGCAGCGCATGCATGGGCCCGTTTTCGACTCGATAACCTGGCCAACCTGGTATGTACGATTGTCCATGAGGCAACCCTCATTGCTCACATTGGTACTGCTGCTTAGGCCTGTTAATAGCGGTGGCAGAGTGGTCGTGGATGTGGTTGTGCTCGTCGTTATGTTGAGCACAGCGGCCATGGAGACGGGACACTCGTAGCGCGGGCAGCAGAAGCCAGAGATGGGCTCCTCGTGGCAGCCGGCAATTGGTGGCGGGCAAGACTGCTGCAGGCAGATGATGTCGCTCCTGAAGCAGAAGCAGAAGTCGCAGGGATCGTCACGTGGTATTTGCTGTGCGGAAACGTAAAGTTTGCCTGCATAGCGACAGGTGCCAGGACCAAAGACATCCTCATCATCGTACTCGTCCTCGTACTCGGGCGCATGTCCATAAGGTGGATGTGTAATGGCACTCGCTGCTGTCGTTGTGGAGGAGGTTGTGGTGCTCGTGCTAGTGGTTGGTGCCTCAGTGCTCTGCTTGGCTGTGGTAGTCGCCTCGGTGGCATCTTCCTCGCCCACACGTCCATCGCTGGCTGGACTCTTGGTGGAGCTTGGCAGATGCGCAAAGAGTGGATGCATTGTGGTAATAATTGTGGCAAGATCTGCCTGCTCTGTGGCCACTTCCTCGCTTGAGGTCTCCGACGATGTCTCATCCTGGGCTGCAGGCGTGGTCGTGCTCTGTGGCAGCTCTGAGACCACTGCGGGCACCTCAGCTTCTGGCTCTTCGGTGTCGGACTTCTTGTCTGTCTCCTCGGACTCCTTGTCTTCGTCCTCCTCCTTCTCGCTTGCCTGTGTGACTGGTGTCTGATCCTCCTCGGATTCCACGGATTCCTCGCCTTCTTCGGTGGAGTCCAAGCTTGGCTTGACAGCGGGAGCTGCGGTGGAGGTCTTCTCGGTGACTTCCTTCTCCAGCTCGGGCGCTGCTGTTTCCGGCACAATGTCAGCCTCCGTGACGGCGGCCTCAGATGAGGTTGCCTCTGTAGATGAAGCGGCTTCAGCTGGGGTTGCTGGCGCGGCAGTTGGTGGCTTCAGTTTGGCACCAGCTGGCGACTGATCGGTGGTATCCTCTGCATCAGCATCAGCAGCGCTGGTAGCTGGCTCTGTGCTCTCTTCTCCCACATCTTCGGAGGCAGGACTGCTGGGGGCGACTGTCGTTGGCGTCTTGTCATCCTCGGCAGTTGGAGCGGCAGTCTGGGACATGACATCGTCCATGGGCTTCGTGTCGATTTCCTCAGCAGAAGGCACATCGACAGGAGCAGCAGTAGAATCAGCTTCAGGCAGGCTAGGAGCAGCAGTTGAGGCAGCAGTTTCAGGCACGGACGGAGCGGCAGTTGAGGAATCAGTTTCAGCTGGAGCAGCACTAGAGGCCTCAAGTGTTGCCTCCGTTTGGTCCTCTTCCGCCTCGGAAGTGGGCGCTGCCGTGGAGCTTTCAATTGGTGTCTTGGCATCGTCCTGTGGCGTGCCAGTTGCCTCCTGCTCGTCGGCAAGTGGTGGCACAGTGGTGGCTGTAGTATCATCCTTGGCGTCGGACACTGCTGGACTGCCAGCGGTGGTGACATCGAGCTCATCCTCAGCCTCGGCAGCTGGTGTGCTGACGGAAGTGGCTGCTGGGCTCGTTGGTTGCTCAGATTCATCCACAGTGGGTGGGGATGTCGGGGCAGCTGCCTCATCGATTGGCCGCTCGTCGGATGCATCGGTGGGAGGAATCTTCGTGCTCGATTCAACTTCCTCTTCATCCTTTTCGGATGTGGCAGGAGTGGCACTGGATGTGGCCTCTTCATCGACGTCCTTCGTGGGTGCAACAGTTGTGGAGTCCTCGGTTGGCTCCTTGATGTCTGTGGCAGGTGTGGAACTGGCTGAGAGCTCTTCATCTTGCTCCTTGGTAGGTGCACCTGTGCTGGAATCAACAGATGAGGGCTCTTCCTTTTCGGTTGTATCCTTGGCGTCTGTGGCAGGTGTGGCAGGTGTGGCGGCGCTTGGCGTGAGCTCCTCATCTTGCTCCTTGACGGGCGCAACTGTGGTGGCCTCAGACTTGTCCTCTTCCTCCTCAGCTGCTGGCGCAGATGTGGCTGTTGGAATATCTTCATCTCCCAGCTGTGGCACTTCAGTGGAGGCATCAGCCTCTGGCTCCTCCGTCTCTGGTTTCTGGGCATCTGTGACAGATTCCTCCTCCTCTTCGGTGGCTGGCGCTGCAGTTGTGGGCTTAGTGGTTGGCAGCAATTTCTTTGTATCGACGGTAGCTTCAGTGACACCAATGGCTGTCTCGGTGCTCTCCTCATCCTCTGCGGATGTCGCAGGTTTCTGCTCATCGGATGGCACTGAGGCAGGAGCAACGGTGGTGACAGTGGAGTCAGCATCTTCAGTTGGCACTTCAGTGGACGCCTCGGGTATCTTCTCCACTGGTGCCTGTGCAGTCGATGAAGGCAGCTTGTCTTCGGGCTGCTCCTCGGACAGGGTTTCGGTTGATGGAACAATTTCATCGCTGGATTCGGTGGATCCCTCGGCAGGAGCGGCAGTTGTGGCAGAGATTTTATCTTCGGGCAGGTCTTCAATCTTATCTGCTGGAGTTGCCAGCTTCGTTGGCTGCTCAGTGGATTGGTCCTCCCCTGTTGGAGTCTCGCCTTCAGTTGGTTTCTCTTCCTCCTCGCTTGGCTTCTCCTCTTCCTCGGAGACGGGGCCAATGGTGGTGATATCTGAATCGATATCAGCAGCTGGCGCTGAGGTGACTGCCGGTTCCTCCTTCTCGTCCACGCTGGGAGCAGCAGTCGATTCGCGCTCCTGATCTGTGGATGCCTCAGTGGATGATGGCAGAACATCGCCAAGTTTTGGTGCATCAGAAGGTGCTGCTGTGGTTGCAGATGCTTCCTCCTCTTCCTCTGTGGAGGAGGTTGTGGGTACTTCGGGCTTCTGCTCTGCCTCTTGGGCTGGCGTTTTGTCGGTGGATACATCTTCGATTTCCTCGTCAGTCGCTGGCGTTGAGGCTGCTGAGGGACTGGCAGTAGATCCTTCAATGTCAGACTCCTTCTCTACATCTTCTCCAGCGGGAAGTGGTTCCTTTTCTGCCTCGGGCTTCTCAGTGCGTTCTTCATCAGCAACAGGAGCAGCAGTTGCAGCTGCAGTCTCATCCTGCTCTGGCTCGGGCGTAACGCCAAGTGAGGGCGTCTTTTCATCAGAGGGAGCAGCTGTTGTGGCTTCGACTTCATCTTCGGTGTCAGGCGATTCCTTGCGCTCATCAGAGGCGGGAGTTGTCGTCGATTGCTCAGCGGACACTTCCTTGTCGGCAGGAGAAGCAGCAGGAGTGGCAGGAGCAGGAGTTGTGGTACGATCAGATTCAGGCTCGATCTCAGCAGATGTGGAAGATGATTGCTGTTCGTCTTCAGCCTTCGAGGGAATGTCAGTGGTGGCGGTCGGCTCTTCGTCGGAAGTGTCTCCAAGCGATGGGACAGAAGTGGGAGTCTCTCCAACAGATGGGGCACTGGTGGAAGACTCTCCAGCCAACGGGGCACCTGTGGCAGTCTCTTCAGCCGGTGGGGCTCCGGTGGCAATCTCTTCCTCTCGCTCACCTCCCAGCAGCGTCTTTTCTGTGCTTTCTGGTGTCTTGTCTTCATCGGAAGAAGACTCAGCAGCTGGAGCAGGAGTGGTCGTGGTCGTGGCATCGCTTTCGATTCCAGTCGCAGTCGGTGACTCATCAGAGGTGTCCTTTTCACCCTCTGAACTAGGCTCAGTGGTTGCCACTTCATCCTTTGCGGGCTCCTTTTCTGGCTCCGCCTCAGTACTCGTTTCCGCATCTTCGGGCTGCGTCTCTGGCTTGGCGGCTGGCGCTCTGGTGGGCAATGCTGGTGCACCTCCTTCAATAGCCGAAGGCTCAGTCGTGGCTGGCAGCTCATCCTCATCATCCGAACTATCTTCGGCAGAGGTCGCTGGCTCCTTCTCATCGATTGGAGCCTGCGCTGGCGCAACTGTTGTGAACTTATCCAAATCTTCAATGTCCTCCTCGACGGATGCGCTGGTCGATGGCTCGGGCGTCTTTTCGGTCTTTGGTGTCTGCGTGGAGGAAGTGGACTCTGGTGCGTGCACTTCGGTGGAGGATTCTGTGGATTCTTCCTCGGATGTGGCTGTGGTGGCTGGAGTGCCTGTCTCGACATCAGCAACTGGCGCTTTAGCACCAAGAATTGGTGACTCTTCGGTGGTTTGTGGCTCTTCCTCTGAGGGCTTCTCTTCCTCAGTGGGTTTCTTCTCATCTTCCTGTGTCGTGCTGGGAGCTGTGGTTGTGGCTGCCGATTCATCTTCAGTCTCCTTTTGGGCAGGAGTTGTGGCTTCCTCTTGAGACGGCTTCTTGGTGGCCTCATCAGCGGTGGGTTGCTCTGTGGCTGCGCCCTGTTCCTCATCATCCTTGAGCTTCTGCTCGGGCTCCTTGTCGAGAGGTTTCTGTTCTTCCTTCTCCTCAGTCTCAGTTGTGCTTGTGGCAGTCGTAGGCTTGGCCATGTCTTCATCGGACTCAACAGCTGGCTTCTCGGTTGCCTTCTGCGTGGAAGACTCAACCTCCAGTGGCTTGGCTGTGGAAGACTCAACCTCCTCATCGGGCTTGACATGCGAAAGTGGCTGCTCGGTAATGCCCGTGGGCATAATGACGTCCTTGGGTATTTCCTCGGTGCTGCTGGCACTCGACTCATCCTCAGCCTCATCGATTCTGTCAATGGGCTTGGCAGTCGTCTCCTCCTCATCGCTCTCCTCGCAGATGTAGGTGGGACAGCAGCCGGCCAGTAGATCGGAGGACAGCACACACTTCTCGCGGTTGGCGGGCTCCTTGCACTCCATTTGCTGGCAGGACACCAAACTGCTGACACACTTGCAGGACACATCGCAGGGCGTGGTGGCTGGCACATTCGTGTTGTTGGCATAGGTCTTGCCCTCCACCAGGCAGTCCCCTTCTCCGGGTATGACAGCGGGCAGATCCATGGCGGGCATTGCCTCCGAGGAGCTCTGATCCTCGGCACTGGGTGGCAGGGTTGTCGGCTGCTCTGAGGCCACAGCTGGCACTGTCGTTGGTTGCTCCTCGCTGCTGGGTGAGACGCTGCTGGATGGCTCCAATTCGGCCAGGGGTGTGGAAGTGGACTCCTCCGACTTCGTTGGCTCCTCCTTGATGGGTGTTTCTGTGGCAGCTTCGGCCCCCTCCGTGGAGTCCTTCTCCTCGCTGACAGGTGGCAGATAGGCGGGCTTTGGCTTGTCGGTGGAGATCTCTGGGGTTTCCTCTGGCAGGCTTGTGGTTGGCTTGATGTCGGACTTGACTGCATCGGTGCTTGTCTCTTCCTCCTCCTTCTGCTCGTCCTGAGCCTTGTCTGTGGTCTCCTCTGGCTGTTCCTGAGTCCTGTCTGTGGTCTCCTCTGGGTGCTCCTGTTCCTTGTCAAGTGGCGTGCTGGTCGCTGTCTCACTGTCAGCTTCCTCCGCTTCCGTGGATGATTCGCCCACAGGTTTCTCCGTGGAAATTGGCTGTACAGGGCCGGTCTTGAAGGCATCCTCGGCAGGACGCTCAGTGGCTGCATCCACGCTGACTTCGGTAGCCTGTTCATCGCTCTCAGTGGCTGTCTCATCCTTCTCGCCAGCAAGTGCTGATGCACTGGTGGAGCTGGCGGGCTGGGCCTCTGCTGCCTCGGTGGATGAGGCGTGAATTGGAGTGGCAGCTGTGGAGGCGCCTTCCTCCGTCTCCGTGACTGGCTCCTCGTCCTGTTCGGCTGTCAATTCAGTTGAATCATCGATCAGTTCAGTCTTGGCTGTGGTTGCCTTGACAGTCTCCTCCTCCTGCTCCTCCTCCGCACTGACTGGAGTCGTTGGTTCTGCAATCTCCTCCTCCTCGGTGGATGTTTTGTCGGCTGGGGTGGTGGCCTTGCTAACTTCTCCCTCTGTGGAGGAGGCATCAACCGGAGCTGTAGCTGTGGGCTGTGCAATGTCCTCAACGCCTTCGCTGCTTGAGGGTTCAGCAGTGCTTGTGGTGACCGAAGCGGAGTCAATGTCCTTGTCAGCTTCACCCTCGCTCGTAGGAGCGGGCGTGCTGGCCTTGGCAGTCTCATCCTCCGCTGGCGTGGTGCCCTTGATGAGCTCCTCTTCGCCTTCGCCTTCGCCCTCGCCGCTTGCCTCTTCCGTGGATTCCGTGGGCTTGGCTGGTTCAATCTCATCACTCTCCACCACTGCGGGTGTGGGTTTGGCTGCCTCAGCGTCTTCAGAGCTGCCTGCTGGAGCAGCTGTGGGTCTGCTCTCCTCATCTTCTGTGGTTTCTGTTGGTGCCGGAGTGGCCTTGACCTCGTCCTCGTCTTCAGTGCTGATTGCTGGAGCGGCTGTGGCCTTGGCTTCTTCCTCATCTTCGCCGCTTGCCGCTGGAGCTGCTGTGGGCTTCTCCTCCTCATCTTCAGTGCTGACTGCAGGGGCAGACGTGGGTTTGGCCTCCTCTTCCTCTGTGCTTTCTGCTGGTGCAGCTGTGGGCTTGATGTCATCCTTCTTAGCATCTTCCTCAGACGCTGGCGTTGGCTTGACTTCATCCTCCTCGCCGCTACCCTCCTCAGTGGTGGGTGTGGCCTTGGTCTGATCCTCCTCGCCGCTGCCTTCCTCGGCAGGTGTGGGCTTGGCCAATTCCTCTTCATCGCTTGAACCCTCGGCAGGTGCAGCAGTAACCTCTTCATCGGTAGTAGAGGATGGAGCCGAGGTGCTGACCTTGAGGATATCTTCCTCCGGACTGGCCTTGGCTGGCGCTGGAGAGGTGACCTTAATGATCTCCTCCTCCTCCTCCTCCTGCTCGGTGCTGTCCTGCTGAGCGGGCGTCGTGGGCTTCGAGACATCCTCCTCGCCGCTGCCCTCGGGCTCGGGCGTGGTCACAATCTTAACGATGTCATCCTCATCCTCCTCATCGCTGGCTGCGGTAGCTGTCTCCGTGGATGCGGCATCAGTGGCTGCTTCAGTGGAGCTGGAAGAATCTCCAGTGGCTGCCTCAGTCGAGCTGGCTGACAGATCAATCCTAGAGTCCGAACCAATGCCCGCAGTGGAGCTCTCGGGAGCTGTCGTGGTCGTTGTCTCCGCTTCCTCAACCTCACCGCTGCCCTCCTCCGGAGTAGGAATCTCGGTGGCCGTCTCCTTGTCCTCCTCCTTCTGATCGTCATCGATGTGCTCCTGCAGATCCACGTCCTCCTTCGGAATCTCACCATGAATGTCCTTGGCTGGAGTGGCTGTGGTAAGCTCCACAATCTCCGTGGTGGCGCTGTCATCCTCGCAAATGTAATTGTTGGGACAGCACTCACCCTCGGCGGCGGGCATGGCGCGGCAGGCGGTGCCATTGGCCGCCATCATGGGCATCTGGCAGTCCTGGACGGCGCACACCATGTGTCCGCGCATGCAGTAGCAATGCTCGCAGGCATCCTTGCCACGGATTGAGGCACCATCCGCATAGATGTCGCCATTGTAGATGCAATCGCTGGACTCTGTGGCTGGCATCATCGTGGTGGGCAGTACAAAGCCAGTGGTGGGTCGCTCCGTGGTTGTTGTCGTCGTGGTGGAAGTTTCCAGGAAGTCCAACTCGTTCTCGTGGTCTGCAAAGAGGATTTGGGTTGGGTTTGTGTGAGTGCCAGTGGGAGGCAGCTTCGGGTTGTGCCACTTACCGCAACTGTAGCGCACGGGGCAGCAGGAGCCCTTGTTGTAGATGGGCAGACAGCCATCCACGTGGAGCGTGCACTCCTGCATGACGCACTTGGTCTGATTGTTGATGCAGTAACACAGCTCGCAGGGTCTGTTGGGGTTCGATGGCACTTGGGCGCCCTCTGGGTAGAACTTCTCCTCAATGCTGCAGCCGAATTTCTCGGGAATGCTCAGCTCGGTGCCGGGCTCCGGCGTGTGATAGGGCACATCCACGGGCACTGTTGAGGGAAGAAGATTAACCACAATCTCTGAGCTGCAGCTGCGACGGTGACTTACCCTCTGGACAGGTGATGATGGGACAGCATTGATCCTCCCGCTTCTCCACAATGCAATCGTGGCCAATGGGCTTGGTGAAGGGGCAGACGCGCAGATAGCACATCAGCATGCGGTTGTGGCAGGTGCAGTTGAGGCACGGCTCATTGGTCATGATGCGATCGCCCTCATTGTAGTGCGCATAATTGTAGTAGCAGCCCTCTGCAAAAGAGACCAAGAGTGCGAGAGGCTCACATTACAAATCTGGAGCGCTGCCTGGGAAAATGCAATCACAAGACAATGGCCAGACTCCCAGCAGTTCCCTGGCTAATAAATTCCAGCCATTAGTTATGCATGCAGGCCATGGCAGTATCAGTAACCACTAACTAAAGTCGGGGGCTTTCGGGTTCGGGTTTGGGTTTGGGTTTGGGATTGGGGGCGGTGCACAATGTGTGCTACTGTGTCGTCGTTGTCGCCCCTAGGGGCCATAAATAAAGGCTAAGCGCCAGCAGCTGTCATAATACGTGCACATCTATAGACACATTTTTATGGCTCATCAGCGTCGTTAAACGTTAAGAACCAAGTGCCACAAGTAAAATATGCGCACGTGTCTGTCCGCTGTCCGTTAACTGCTGTCCGCTGTCTGTTGGCTGTCTGGCTGCCTAATTTAGTGACGTCCACCCGCAATAAATTCAACATCACATCATTAACACGTTAAGCCCCCGTACACCGCCTCCGACCGCAGCGCCCCAAGCTGTACCCCGACTTGAGCGCTGCGCATGCGGCGTAGACCATTTTTTTGTTGTTGATTGAAATCTTTGGGGCTCTTGCTCTCACGTTTCGCTGCCCAAACCTAACTCGTAAAAAGTCAGCCTTTATGTTTCAATTTGTTTACATTTTGTGCCTTTTTCACACCTCATCTAACTGGTTAATAATGCTGCTTTATGACAGCAGATTAGCTGCGATTCGATCACTCGCGGAGGCCTAATTAACCAGCAAATTGTGTGGGAAGTAGACAGACTGGGAGCAGCATATTCTGCATATTATTATTTCATTTTTAATGTACAATTTCCCAGCTGAGGGTGGGTTCATGAACACCCTTTATAAATTCCTTTTTCTAGCAAAAAAAAAAAAAAAAAAACTAATTAAATTCGCGGCATGCCATAAAGCTGGCAAACATTTATGGCGTCTTCGTGGCAGGGGGAGCAATCAGAGATATTCTTCAAGTATTATTTTCAGCAGCGTAATCATCATAAAAACGAATCTAGATGGTGGCTGGCTGGCTGGCTGCACATTTTACGAGTGGTTCCATTTTTTGCCAGTTAATCAGTGGAGATCGGAGGACTTACCCGAGTACTGCTGGATCTCCGTGTATTCCTGGAGTGGTGCTGCAATGAGGAATGCGAAAAGAAATGTTTATTATTTAATGAAATGCCAAGCGCTTTATGATGGCCATATCCGTTAGCCATAGCCGTGGCCATAATAAATTAATTTATCTATTGCAAGGCATCGAATGCCGTGGCCTCTAATTGTGGCTGCATGCAATTGAAATTAGGCTCCGGTTCAGCACCAGCGCCACTTCTGTTGATAGGCTCTGGCCGGTGTTCTGATAACAGGGTCCAACAGCAGCTCCAAATTGCAACCAGCAGCTTGGCTTCGTGGTGCGTGCAACGTGTTATTACCACATAATCAAAATGCAGCAGGCAGCAGCAGCAGCCAGCAATCCAGCACAGAAATGGCACGTACAAAAGTCGATGCTGAGGCTGAGGCCTGAGCTGCGAGCTGCGAGCTGCCTGCGTGTGTCCCACAGCGGCCCCCTGGTTCCTGGCTCAAACAAATTGTTTAAGCTGACAGCTGGCCAGCAAAGTCGCTGCTGGCCACTTGTTGCTGCTGCTGCTGCTGTTGCTGTGGTGGCGTCTATGAGCCGCATGCAACATGCAACAAAAGGACGTCCCGGCACGCCGCACGGCACAAATGATTTGACAAATTGCTTTTTTATGAATTTATGCTGCTTGCTGGCGGCGTTGCTTTTGCTTTGATTAATTGCTGCCAGTTGAAGGGTTGACAATTTGGCGCATATTTCATTCAGATTTTACCTACGTGTACCTGGGGGGGCCCCACACCGGCATGACTTGCTCTTCTCTGGCCCATACAATTTGGCAGCAAATTGCAGGGAGCAAAGCAATTCTAACGGCATGGAATTTGGCCCAGGCACAGGCACAGGCAGGAAGGCATGGAGTCCGGTCAAACAAATCAGAGTAGCAATTTCAATTCATGGCCAACGAACTGCTGCTCTCTCTCTCTCTCTCTTAACTAACGGATGTAAATTACATTTTATGCGGTAAGACCGAACCTGGCAACGCATAAAAATTCACACATTAACTGTTAAGTTAAGGATTGTCGACCAGCAAACAGGTGGAGTTGCGCAGTTGAATGGAGTGGAGTCCACTTGAGTGAACCGAACACTCAAGAGTGCAGCAGGCAGTGTGAAGAATTTGGCTGGCAATGGAAGTCAATCATGCAGCAGAGCCAGAGCCAGAGCCAGAGCCCGGACCACAACGACGACAACTCCCCAGTTGCCGGGGACCAGGGACCTGCCTTGTAGTGCCAAACTTATGCAACAATTTCTGTGCTGTGCAAGTGCAACAACTAAAACAAGCCACGGACAACAACAACATTATGATGATGATGATGATGATGATGATGATGATGATGATGATCGGAGCAACGCATGAGGCTCTGGCTGCTGTTGCTCTTTGCTGGTACACATCAAACATGGTCGTGTCGGTCCAACAAACAGAAGTCAGTCAGTCAGTTAGTCAGCCAAAGTCGGGCTCTGGCTGTTGTGGCTGGTGTTGATGTGGATCCCAGCTAACAACTTGCATCGTGTAGGGGCAGCATTCGTAGCCGAAGCTGAAGGCAAGTTGTAGTTGTTGGCGGCGGCGGCCGCGGCGGCGTTGGCTGTAGCTCGCTCTTTGCTGTTGCTCTTTGCTCGAGTCGTGCATTTTGTTTATTCTAGGAAAGCGCGCGCGTATTCGCCCAGCCTCTGCCTCAGTCACAGCCCCTCCCGCTCTGATCCTCCTCCATGGTCATGGCCATGGCTGGCTGCTTGGTCTGCTCTCTGTCGCTGAGCCAAGTTGAATGACCCGTCGCGCATGTGTGCAAAAATGTGTACACAAACCATAAAATACAAGCCACAAGCACTGGCACTGAGCACTCGGCAGCTTTACTTACATAAGTAGGCCTAGGTGCTGCTTGGGCCTGTGGCCGTGGCTGGACCAGAGTCCCCATAGTCACACACAGGCCCAGGCCAAACCCCAGGCACGCCTTTTGCTGGTTACGCTTTATTATTTAGTGGCTTGTGGGTGGGTGGAGACTCTGGGAGTAGTGGGAAAAAGTGGCAGTTTTTCCCCCAAAAAATATTCTCGTTGGTAGCTGTGCTGTGCCTGGAGGTGCTTCTACGATTTCTTCTTCTTTTTTTTATGGCCACGCTCGATGCGGAAACGCAAGGCGATGCGAGTGAAAATATTTGCAATGCCACAAATATTTCAAAGATTACAAAATAAACACAAATCTTCTGCAGTGTCTGCTGTGTTGTCCCCAAATGCGTTTGTCGTTTGACTCTCGAATGCTTCTTTTTCTTTTGCTTTTTCTTTACCGCTATTCGCAGCTGCAGCGGTGACAACTTGACCACACCCACCTTTAGTTTCAATTGCAGGCGAGACACAGACGCAGAAGCAGAACCAAACGCAGAACCAAACCAAATACAATATACGAGTAATAGTAAGTAAGTTGGATAACGACATACGATTTATTTGCTTATTTATTTGCTGCTGCCGAAATAATTTTTGTAGAAGAAATTACATGCAAATATGTTCGTCGTCTGCTTGTGCGCACTCACACATGCAAGCGTATTCTATTTTTAGATTTCTACGCTCTAACAAGCATGCAGCGAGCGCGGGGGGTTTTTTGGCTTTTCGTCGCTCGTCCAGTTCTTGCTTGCAGACTGCCGTTACTTCATATTATATTGTCTTTGCCCAGCTCTGATCATTTCTCACTCTGTTTTTGGTGTGAGTGTGGAGAGTTTTTCGTTTTCTTTTTCGTTTGACTTTTCTCTGTATTTATCTATCGTCTAATTAGATGCAGCTTAAACAATGCCCGCGGAGAGGAGCAATAAATCGATCTATAATTGCGATTCCCAGTAAAAGGCAAAAGGCAGCAACTAGGAAGAAGAAAAGGCAACTGCCACTTGGCAGCAGGAGTATGCAAATTTTTTTAATGCACTTTTTGTTGTTGTTGTTTGGGGCAAAAACAATTTCCATTTTCTATGGCCTTGATCACATAATTTCCATAATGCCAAGCAGATCAATATGGAGTGAGCGACAAGCTAACAACAACACAGGCAGACAGACGGACGGACAGAAGGAGCCCAGAGACTTGCGACCCAAGCCCAAGCCCATGCCCAAGCCCGTATCATGTCCATGCATCAACGCTGAAAGCAGCCGCCAGGCAAGAGCCAAACCAAGGCAGAAGGCGCCCTAACAATGCAACTGCAAACTGGAAGCATTGGGGGCCGCACAGCAAATGAATTTGCGAGTAATTTAACATGATTATGTCGGCGACAAGGTAGCAATGTAGACATCGAAGCTGATGCTGGTGCTGCTGGTGGAGCTCCTGCTGCTGCTGCTGCTGCTGCTGCTGCTGCTGCTCCTCGATTTGCGGCTACCCAAATTGGACGCAGTTGCGCAAAAGGCTAGGGCTGTGACTAGGACCGGGCGCTACCTTGGCGTGACGCTGTGTTTTATTACCAAACTGATGCTGGCCAGGCAGCAGCCTAGACCATGATTCGTTCTAAGTAAATTATGCCCGATGGTCATGATGTGGATGTGGATGGCCATGAAATTGCACCAGTCGAAGGTTGTTGTTGGCTGCTGCTGGTTGTTCTTGGCTGCCGTGCATATGAAACAATTACCGAGGCAAGGGTAATATCAGTGGATGCCTAGAACCTAGACCCGCACAATCCTGCCTGTCTATATGTGGACATTGTAATTGCAGGCCCAAGACTACTCCTCGAGCTCATCTCATATGCATATTTATGGCTGCCTGCCTGCTCGGGCAATGTCATTAGAGAGTCTGTTTGTCTGTTTGTCAGTTTGTCTGTTTGTCAGTTTGCCATTTTGTCAGGTTTGGGGCGAATTTTTCCCCACCGCTCGCTCCTGACTGCTTAATAGATAATAATGAGGCAACAGTCGACTGGCAGGCAGTTGGCCTTGGGGCGCTGTAATTAAGCAGTTAAAGGAGGGGTTCGGCTCGGTCGCCATGAATTCTTTCCCACAGTTCGGGGCCCTAGAGTTTTACGAGCATGTGTCCTGTCTTTGATTTGTTTTGATGGCCTTTGCATGGCTTTAATGAATCCTCAACAGCCCATACCCCCGGCTCCCCCCTCCATTCGGCAATCAATCTGTCCGACAGTCAGTACACTCTTCCCCCGCCAGAGTTGAGGCTAATCACAGACTGGCATTCCTTCCACTAGCTCCACTAGCTCCACTAGCTCTACTTTGATCTCTTCTGTTCTGTGTTCCGTTGCTGTTGCTGGCAAATATATCATAATTTTGTTTGCGCAATTTTAGACAGTGCAAAGCGAAGAGCCTGCAGGGAGGAGGAGGATGCCGGGTCTGCATTCAATTATTACACCGCTAGCTGTTATTGATAACAGCGCATTGATTACAGCAATTGCCGAAATAACAGACAAGACAAAGTCCAACGGCAGATTTCAATGCAGATTGAGACTCTGATTGCTGCAGCAGGAGCCTCAGCCTGACAAGTGATGGATGCATCCATGGCCCGGCCCCAGCAATCAGCAGCGGAGCAGGAGGAGGCAGGAGGAGGCAGTAGGAGCCTCCCAGCGAGCAACAAGTTTTCCACTGCGCATGCGTAACTGTTTATTAATTTGAGTGGTAGCTGGGGAGAGAGCGCCGCGCCACTCTCTCACGCTGCCGTGTCCTGACTCTGACTTTGGTTTCAATTAAGTGCTCGTGGAACGCATCCATGTGGCATTCTAAGCGCTAATTGCTGCTGCTGCTGCTGCTGCTGTCTCCAGCTTGTAGTCGATTTGTATCTTTGTATCTTTGTATCTCTCTCTCCTCCCACGTCGCATTCGCCTTGGCATTCGCCTAATGATTGGACACTGCAGATAGTGCAGCGGGGAGACTCATAGCTGCAGAATGTTGCGTGTTAGCCGACAGAGGACAGAGCTGGCCAAAAGCCGTAAAATTCAATGGCCCAGTGCTTGCACACACACAGAAAGGAGAAGAGGAGACTCGCACACACAAGCGCAGGGGAGACACTGTAGGAATACTCGTACATCATGTGCAAAAGATCAGCGCAA